CATAGGGATTTACCCTGGAGCCCAGTGCCAGTCTGTCACAGAGAGCCTGGGCCCCGGGAGGAATAGGAGGTCGGGTGTGCAGGTCAGAGCTCACAGATGGACCCTGTAGCCCGGCTCTGACATGAGGCAGGCCTGTGTGCTGGCAAAGAAATTAGTTTTGGCCACAGTACTCTCAGCTTTGGAGTGGAGCAGAGGCACACACACTTCCCTTCCAGAACAAGACCAGACCTAGAGACTAAGACTCTGGTGCCTCCTGTCTGGGTAGTTTCCCTCACAGCAGGCCTCCTAACTCAGGCGGCATGTTTGTCAACAGTGCTTACACGTCAGGCTTTGAAACTTCTGACAGGTAGACCTTGTCCCAGTGAGACAGACTTGTTTTTGCCTGTATCACAGCCAGCTGTCGTGTTGATCCCAATGTGTCCCTAAGATTATCAAAGTGAGACATAGGCATGACCCAGCTTAGCCTTAGCATAGGTGGCTAAGGGGGTCTTTGGTGCTGCTGTCCTCACCTTGGATAGAACAGCATCTCATGAGACTTGTTTGTTGGTGTTGGGGCAAGGTTGTAAGCATGAGACTTTGCCTTGTGACTCAGTGCTATGTTGATAAATCTCAACACTGGGAAGACCCTAGAGACTCCACCCCCATCCCCAGACCTGCCAGCCAATAAGGCCTCCAGAACAACAGCAGACCTAGGGAGGGCAAGCACCCCCAGTCTGTTGGCCTACCAGGTCAGCTAGTTTAGCTTATGTTTATTTACAATGGCTATGGTCCACAACTTCACCTTAGTAGTGAGTCTGCTACTATAGCAGTGTGACCTTGGTCCTAACTCAACTATTGTACTGATGCTGTCAGGCTGTGGGCTCAGTGTATGACACAGCTGGGTGGAATTGGTGGCTACATATATGACAAAGGAGTCGAAAGTGGGTCGATCCATGGTGACCCTGCCCAGAGGAGGCAGAGTGCAGCAGCCTAACTGCAGGCCAGTAACTGCGGAAGAGGCATCGAACCCTAACCCGGTACCAGGGAGAATCCTGAATCATCTCTAGGAGGCAGGCTATTTTTGGATCTCCAATTTCGTTTTTAACAACACTCCCAGACTATATTGGGACAAACCTGGGCTTAGATTCCCACCTAAAACTGCAACGATGATGAGACTCCCACAGCAGAACCCCAGCAAGTTTGCACCTGGGTGCCATCTAGTGCTAAAACATGGGGAGTGACAGCAAGCTCAGAGGAAGCCAGCCTCCCTGGGGACAGGCAGCCTCAGTGGAAATCAGACTAGAGTAAGCATCTTACTCTTGGGTGCTCACATGTGGCACTAGCTTGCACCAAAAGCTTTTAGGGGACTTTGGAGGCACTCTGAGCTCATGTAGGACTCAGGCAGTAACCTGCACAGAGGTCTCAGAAGTTGAAATTACCATTTTAGGAAGATTTGATCAGCTTAAGGGAACAGAAACTCCTAACAGAGGAACTCATCAGCTGAAAGCAATTAAAAAGTTCCCAAGATAAAAAAAAATTATCTGTGAAACCGAGAATCTCAAAGAAAGCATCAAAAGCAGGTGGGTTAAACAACGAGCTTCAAGATCGAGCTTCTTAAAACGCACCGTTGGAGAGGAAAGAATGAGAAAGGCACAAAGCTTACGGGGAAATCGGGGACTACTGAAAGAGCAAGTATGCTGTTGGGGCTCGAGAAGGACCCGTGAACACCAAAGAAGAGGAAAGCCTATTCACAGGGGTAATAATGGGAAAGTTCACAACCCTGGAGGACAGAAAAACTCTGGTGTAGGAAAGGCAAGAGTCACCCATCAAACTTAAGTCACAAGGTACCCACAACGGTGTACTCAAGCAAGCTCTCACAGGTGAAAGGCAGAAGTGTACCCACAACGGTGTACTCAAGCAAGCTCTCACAGGTGAAAGGCAGAAGTGTACCCACAACGGTGTACTCAAGCAAGCTCTCACAGGTGAAAGGCAGAAGTGTACCCACAACGGTGTACTCAAGCAAGCTCTCACAGGTGAAAGGCAGAAGTGTACCCACAACGGTGTACTCAAGCAAGCTCTCACAGGTGAAAGGCAGAAGTGTACCCACAACGGTGTACTCAAGCAAGCTCTCACAGGTGAAAGGCAGAAGTGTACCCACAACGGTGTACTCAAGCAAGCTCTCACAGGTGAAAGGCAGAAGTGTACCCACAACGGTGTACTCAAGCAAGCTCTCACAGGTGAAAGGCAGAAGTGTACCCACAACGGTGTACTCAAGCAAGCTCTCACAGGTGAAAGGCAGAAGGGCTCTAAGGCTGTAAGAGACAAGAAAGAACATGCGGGGAGGAAAAAATTCACCCAGCACTTCTCAGCAGAGACATGTTGTCAGGTTTTCATGGCAATGGAGAAAAAAATACCCGTAAGCTGTCCCTAACCAAGCTATTCTGTAAAACAGATAATGACATTCCCAGATCAAAGCCGAGTGTGTCTATTCTAGAAGTAATGCAAAAGGAAATTCTAAGAAAGCGCAGGACAGCTGCGCTCCCAGCACCCAGGAGGTGGAAGCGGCAGCAGGGTCACGAGTTCACTGTGAGCAGGGCCTCCGAGAAATCATGTCTAAGAGGACAGGGAAGCGGAGAGATAAAGGAGGAAGAGGAAGAAAAGAGGAGGAGGGGAACGCTAGACTGTAAAGCAGGATGAGAGTGAACTATGAAACACAGACACTATAGTGTTGTAAGCATGGTGCAGACAGCACTCAAATTTTTAGTATAAACACTAAAAAAACGAACAGATGACGGGACCTAGCTGGACATGTGCACTCATATAAATAAGTAAACTCAGATTTTCAAGCTCCAGAGTGGTACATGGAGAAAGGATGTAAGTACACAATCTACAGTGTTTGAAAATGCATGCACAGCTAAGTACGGTGGCTCATACAGCACCTGGGAGGCCGAGACAGAAGAACTTCCCCAAGTTCAGGGTCAGTCTGTCTCAGCAAACAAAAGCTAGTTGATACAAAACTTGAGTAGTAAATTCGCAACCGTCTATACTTGAAGCACATGAAAAAAGGGGACTCTGGGCTATACAGCCGGAAAAGCTGGGCAGGAGTTTCATGAACAAACTGCTGACCCGCTGGGATTGGCAACTAGGGAGAGGAAGGAAACAGACCGTCACCCAATCAAATTTGAGGCTGGTGGTGGTGTTTTATTTTTCTATATCGAGGGAAGGAATAGATTTGGGGTAGGAATAAAACACAAAATCTACTTGAGATACACGTAGGCCTTTGTATAGTTAAAAAAAAATCAGTTTCTCTTACTTTTGTTATTTACTTGCTAAAGTTCATACTCAAACGGCAGAGAAGTAAAAAGATGCCTTGAAAACATGCTTTGAGCATTTTCCCGGGATACAGGTTCTTTTGAACCAGTTGTTCAATAAGTGAAGCATAATGATTTTCTCAAAAGCAGATTTTTTTCCAGATATAGCAGTTATATGGAAATTAACCTATAAAATTAAGGCAGGCTGCACTGACAGTGTACCTCAGTGGTGCGGCTTAACTTGTATCAGGCCCCAAGTTTCATCCCAAGTACCAAACAAAACAAAGCAAGGAATAAACTGATTAACAAGTTTCACTCTTTGGGGGGAAATTGACTTTTATGTTTATGTGAGCTTTGAGAATTGTGGCTTTGTAAAAATAGTAGGATCAAATTAGTTAGTTTTGCTATATTGTGAAAGCTAACTCTCAGGGGACAGTTATTACCCGAAAAGAAACTTACTCTGGAGACTAAGGATCAGGTGTACCTATGTGAACAACAGCCCAGCCTCTATCCAAGTAAGAGTCTGTACACGCAGACCTGGGGAAGGGAAAAAGGGACAAGGGATGTCTTTATGGCTAAGATTATAGCTAAGATCAAGTTGCATTGCAGACCTCTATTAACTCAACGGAATATTGTGACCATTTTACAGCTGGGGGCGTGGAATGCGCTCCATGTCACATGTTATCAAGACGTCAGACTGGATTTTTAACCTAGGAAATCCTGGCTTCAGAGACTGTGCTGATACCCATTCAACTGTGTCCCTTAAGCAAGTCAGCTGGGACCTGTCAACTAATCTTGAAAAGTCTGGAAAAACACAAGTTACCGCCAGAGGGCATTTTATCTATCCTTGGTTTGGGGGGTATATGAGACTTCCTTTTTCCAGTTAAAGACATTCACAAAGCAAAACCCTGTGATTTGGGCGGTTGGGGGTACAGTTGAGTACTACAGTCAAGATCCCCCGGCCTGTTTCGCTTAGACGGATCTTAACTGCTCCTTACCCCGCGCTTGAAACTAAAATCCCTTACCCATAAAGCGTTAGGTTATCACTTTTGGCAATAGCTGTGCTGGGATTCAGTGAGAAAGGAAAAGCGTTTACAACAGTGCTCTCCAGGACAACTTTCGTCGCAAACACGCCTTTTGGGGGTAACGCGGAGCTGGCAGGGTCAGCCTCTTCCCCGAAGGACCTTCCTGGCTCCCTCCATCACGCCCCGGACTGTGCCGGGACAGGAGTAGGTGACACATTTGTCTGACACTCGGGAGGGTGGGCGTGGGTCACGAGCAACAACCCCGTCTACGATGCAGGAAAAACGCTAAGCACCCATCTCACACCGACTGCTCCACTCAAACCGAGCCCCCACGCCCGGCAAGCGGTGTTTAGGTGTTGGTGGAGACGCAGAAACCACTCGACCACGTGAATGAACCACGGTGCGGCCGAGGCCCCGCGGGAGGGAAACCGTGCTCACTTCCGGCCTCCAGCGTACGACCGCCTCTCCCTCCCTTCCGTCTCCTCCCGCCGTCGGACGTCAACGTCTCCCGTCCTAACCTTAAAAAAAAAAGGAAAAAAAAAATGAGGACGAGCCTCGCGGTGTCGCTCCGCGTCCACGGCAGCCGCGCCCCCTTTCCGGCGCGCCGTGCCGCGCCGCTTGATTGCGTCACACACCACCGACGCAGGAAACCTCGCGAGGTCTCCGCTCGCCTCCCCCCCGCCCGTCCCCTGCCCCCGTTCGAACTCGTTCCTCTGGGAGCGCGTCGCCTCTGTGCGTTCTCGCGATATTTCCGCGGATGCCCGGGCTCGGGCGACCCGGGCTTGCGTGAAACATGGCGGTCGGCTGGGACCGTAGCACTAGGTAAGACGCCAGAGCCCTGCCGGGGCCGTTTCCTCGCGTAGCTCCGGGCGAATGGGGACGTGGGGGCGCGGCAGACGGGCTCACGTTGTCCCGGCGTGGGACCGACCTCCGCCGTGGCTGCTGTGCGGGCGGGCAGCCGCCGGCTGCGAGCCCGCCGCTCCGCTGCCTGCCTGGGGGCGTTCCTGCCGAGCGTGGCCGGCGTCCGAGCACCGCGGCACGGCGTCCGCCGCTCCGCTCCTCCCGGCCGGACAGCGGCGGCCTCGCCAGCGCCTTCTTTGAAATTAGAAGCGAACCAGGCCGAGAGAAGAGGGGCCGGGCCGGGTGGGGTGCAGGCGCCGAGCCCGACAGGTGCGGGGTTAGGGGTGTGTGTGTGTGTGTGTGTGTGTGTGTGTGTGTGTGCGTGCGTGTGAATGTGTCCCACCAGGTTCGCGGTCCGACCCTCCCTCGGGCGGGGACGGTTCCGCTGCTTCTCCGCGACTGCCGTGGGCATCCGTGGAGCGGCGGCGCGGCATCCGACAGGCCCGCGAGCGGACGTCGGTGCCGCCGCAGACGGTGTTGCGAGGAGCGACATGAAAGACGGTGAAAGATGGGCTTTGTTCCGCGGCTTGCAGCCGCGATCCCGGATTTCAGCGCGTCCACCTCACGCGTAGAACCCCCAGCGTGGGTGCCCGGAGACGACAGGGGTCGGCTGGTTTGCCGACGGGTTACTTCACCCGGAGTTGTTGTGGCTGCCCCACTACTCTGTCGAGGAAGACACCCGACAAGTAGAGGTCCCATGTTTTTGTAGGAAGGATCGGGAGGAGGGGGAGTTCTCGGTGGTAGTAAACTTCACCGCTGTTAAGAGAGCGTTGTAACAACTTTCTGGCACACGATCCAGAAATACGGCACTTGAAGAGGTCTCTGAAAGGAAGTCATCGTGGTCTACAACGAGAGCGACAGGGATTTAGGGGGAAGAATTATGCAGTTTACCTTCACCAGGGTTAGTTGTTTAAATGATAATTCATTAAAAAAAAAACAAAAAACAGCACTCGGTTTTAGACTTTGCGCGCCACAAATTCTACTTAATAGTTTTGCTAGGTTTTAATTCTGTTTTAACGCCAAGGAGCTTATCCTTTGGTTTCTGCGCCCTAGTTTCCTTACCATTAAAATGAGAATAATAAGGTAATACTTATCTCATATGAAAGGTTGGGAAGAGTACGTATTTCAATTCATGCAAGCGCTTAGAACAGTGCCTGCCATACTGCTCTTCAGTTTTTGTTACTTAATCGTGTTTTGACTTCCGAAGTTTACTGTGGCTTGGCTACTTAAGGGCACCATAGAGACCGAAGATGATCCTTAAAAATAGTTTCTAACCCCTAAAATTGATTAAACACTTGAAGGCTGTGGTTAGTAGGAACTTGAAACACTTCCTTCGTAATTAGTAACGCGCCGGTTTGTCTTTCTGCTTCTCCATCCAGTCTTGTTTATATCAGTAATGCTCCCCCCTTTGTTAACTCATTGTCTTGCTCCTGTGTTGTTGACATACTGCATGTACTCTTGACCTTTTCTGTTTTGTGTCTCCTGATTTTAGTCTCATGAATTTTGTAGCTACTGTCATCCTTGCTTCCTGTTGCTGGAAAGCACTTCCAGACCCCTGTTGGTGGTCTCTTTCTTTTAACTTTATGCTGTTAGATTACACCATCTTCAGTTTGTGGAATTATCCACTAACTTCGGGTAGGCCCACACTTCCTCACATCAAATACATCTCATATCTCTTTTCTGAAAATTACATTTATTAAATACTTCACTATATTTTGATTAGTAACCGGGGTAGCCCACATGGAAGGAATTCTGAGAAGTTGATGTTCTAGTAAATTCTTAGAGGACAGTTTGGTTTGTGCGGTTGTTTGGCTGGTTTGTTGTTTGTTTTTCAGATCACAAAACTTGTACGGCATATTACTCGTCTTCCCAATGAACTGTTTAGGTTTTTATTTACGATAAACTAGGAAGGTTAAAATAGTGGAAATTGACTTTTTTTTTTCAGTCTTCAAGACTCAAACCAAGTTGTGGGAAGGGTCCTGCTTTGTCTGAAGATTTGGGGCAGAACGCTTCCTTACTTTCCTGGCTTCTCAACGGTCCGTGTAAACACATCGCTCTACACTGTCATTGCATGACGTTCTTCCCTCTCTATGGAGACTTACTTCACCGTGTGATCTTGCAAGAACACCAGTCCTTGTTTTCGTTCACCCTAATCCACTGTGATTTCAACCAAGTGTGTTTCCATTCACAAATACCAGGGCCTAGGACTTCAGCGTCTCTCTTTGAAAACAGTTCATTCCGCAGTGCAGTGGTTTGCTAATCATTTAGCTATTTCTCATTGAGAAGTGCACACTATAAATAGCAGGTGACTCCGTAACACTGATAATAGAAGATAAATTCTTGTTGCCAGTGAGGTAGCTCATCTGCCACCGAGCCTGATGCTTGCTTTGCATCCCCAGGACCTACACGGTAGATGGAGAGGACGGGTCCTGCAGATTGCTTTCTAATCCTACATGTGTGCCATGGCACAGGTCCCCCTGTCTAATAAATTTAATTACAAAATAAGTTTCATTTCATAATCAATTCTTTCCGTTTAAATAAGTAATAAACTGTATGGTTTCCTGAGTTCTGTATTTTATTCTCATTATATTTAAATGGATACAATGATGAAGTAGGTTATATATTTCTTTTTAGGAGTGTTGGTATCAATTTCAACATGAAAAGTTTTGTTATTTCTTAAGCAGTTGTTCAAGTATTGTCTTAGTTGCTATCACCATATCCTTGAGGTTTGATTTTTGTTTCTTTGTTTAAAGGACAATTTAGGGGAGACAGCAAAGAAACCAGATGTGGTATTAGAGATCACTGAAGTGCACACACATTGTCTACCAGTGACCAGAAACATTGTGAAGATTCTCAAGCCTTGTGGAACCATATAGAAATATATACAAGAATAATGCTAGTGAAGGCTGGGTTTGTAGATGTGAATAGATAAAGTTACAGTGTTAATTTTACTAAATTAGGATAACCTGTGTGATGGGAATGTCTTCTGTACATATGTTTCTCTTACTGGTTGATGGATAAAACACTGATTGGCCAGGAAGAAGAGAGGTGGAGCTAGGAGACAAGGAGAATGCTGGGAGGTGTAGGCAGAGGGCACACGTCATGTGAACCTCAGGAAGAGAGGACGCAGGCATTCTCCAGTAAGATAAGACCGTGTAGAAATACATAGATTAGTAGATATGGGTTAATAATTAAGACAGAGCTAGCCAATAAGAAGCCCTAGTCATCCGCCAACAGTTTCATAATTAATATAGTGTCTGTGTGTTCATTTGGGGCAGTGCGACTGTGGGACCAGGCTGGCAGGAAGGAGTGCTGGTAACACCTGTGTTATTTACTGTATCTTTTTATTTTATGTGTATGGGTGTTTTGCCTCTATGCATGCATATTCCACATCAGATGATGATGAGTGGGTGGGGAGACAAGTACTGACTGATCCAGGTACAGAAGCCACGGGGAAGTTACAGATGCACCTAGGTGTCCATAGATGTTGGCTATAAGTCTTGTTCTACATAGCACTACTTGCACCTTCCTGGGAAGAAATGTATTTTTATTTATAAGGAATAAAAGTGGCATCTGTGGTATAGAGGAGTAAGTTAATATGTTCAGTGTACTGAATAGTATCTAACATGAAAGTTCTTCTGTATGTCTTAATTGCTGTTATTAGGGGAAGGTAGACTTCAAAGAGAAGAGGTGGAATTAGAAATATGATTAGAAGCATAACTTTCACCCTGAGAGTCCTGGGAATGAAATATTGCACGAGAGTAACAACATAAAGTGCAGGGTGATTTTTTTTTAAAGCAGTTGGATAACTAGTGTGTGTCACAACAGTGGCTGTACAGTGGCAGGTGCTGGAGATGGAATGGATTTCTTGGAAGTAGTTAGTGAGCTTGCAGGAATGGGGCAGAAGTAGAGTGGTGGCCTACTTCCCTCTGAAATGTTTTCTTAGAAAACAGTCTTGGAGGTGGCTCAAGGAGGGGAAATGCATAGGTTATATTTATTCTTGGTGTTTGTGAGACTAACAGCTACTTGCCGTAGATCCATTGTATAATTTAAAAGAAACTTTATTTATAAAGCTTACTGTGAAAATATACTTACGTTTTGGAAGTAGATTCCCTGTTTATTTTTATCAATAAAAATTTTTACACAACTACTGTTTAGAGCCCGTGATTCTCTAGTAAACAAAATCATTCCCTATGCATAGTGTTTTTAAGTGTTCATTTACCCAAACATGACAGTTTGGATTTGCAATCTGCGCTACTGTGGGTGTTTCTCTTCCTTCCCTGAATACTTACCTGCCTGCTGTGCCAGGAACATTGGCACTGTGAAGGTGTACTTAGACATGGTTCCTTCCTTGACTGTCTTGTGGAGAAAACAGAGCATTCAGTTAGTGGCTAGAAACAGTTGTAGGCACACAAGGCCCAGAGGAGTAAGTGGACCAGTCACGTGAAAGCTGTGTGTGTGGGGGGGACAAGGAACTAATTTGGCAGAGAGAGCAGAACGAGTGCTGCAAGGTTTTCAGTGCTGTGGAACGCCGACGGTAAGACGGTGGGTTTGGTGGACTTGGTTTGTGGAGGGTTCTGAAGCATTTTTAGGATGCTCTAACTACTGTGTTAGGGGACTTGACTGGGGCTTTAAGAGCGATAATATGCAATCTGGTGGTTGTTAATAATTGATTAATGGCTGTATAGAAGTGAGTTAAAGCAGTGCAGTGGCAAGTTGTGGCCATTTAGACTAAGGTCCTAGTAAGGGGCATCTCTGTCCCCAGGAAGAAAGCAAATAGGGAAACTTAGGAAGGGGTTAAGTCTGGAGGTGTAGTTTGGTTTCTGGCTTGTACAGTTTGCTGTGTGCTGTTAATCATTAAGACATGAAAGTGGAAGAAAACCAGTGGTGAAGTATTCCAGGGTTGGACGACTGGGAAAGAAACATATGTAGTAGAAGTCAAGGAGATATCCTTCTGAGGGATTGAGTATAGCTGAAAATAAAGATTGGGAGGAATCCAAATCTAGATGGAAAATGAACATCTACTTTCACAACTTTGGATCTTGAAGCAGTTTGGCTTTTTGGCTTTTGGTTTTGGGATTTGGGTGCTTGCTGAGTTCCTTAGGTCTAGGCAAGAGACTGAGGAGGAGGAAGACCTGCAGTGCACACAGTGAGAATTTGAATATAAATACATTCTACACAAAGCCACATTCTCTGGGAACTAGTACCACAAAAGACAACCTTCAGCCAGTTCAGTCAGGAGGGGAGAAGGGATAAGATGAAGGGTTGGACTGTAGGTGTGCTATCAGAAATCTGTACTTAGACTTGGACCGAGTTTAAGGAGACTTGAACATTTTTAATATTACAAAGAGGCCTATGAAGATGGTTCAGTCACGTGCTTGCTGCACACACCTGAAGTGTTTAGACACTTAGTGCCCATGTCAAAAGCTGTGTGTGGTGGCATGCACCTCTAATCCTAGCAGAGAGGGGACGAAGATGAGAGGATGTCTGGGGCTGTTGGCCAGCCAGTCTATCTGAATTGATTAGCTCCAGGTTCAGTGCGAGGAAACCTTGTCTCAGGAAGATGGAGAGGTTGAAGAGAATGCTTAGCATTGATCGGACTTCCGCACGCACATGTGATACACACATATACTCCACACACAGAAAATCTCAGTCTTACACAATGGATGGAGATTAAATGATTGACAGGGCAGTCTCGGTTTTCTGCTTAGGTTTTGTAAGTGGTCTAGAGATTATTTAAAAGTGTTCAGGATGATGTGCTGGGGTCATTGCAAGTCTCCATCTTAGGAGATGGCTTGAGCACTGTATATTTTCTTGCTGTCTGTGTAATCAGCTCCCCACGGACATTGAGAAGCACCTGTGTTGCTAATATTATAAGCATGTGAGAACTTAGTCACAGCTTATGTTGCCTTATAACTTTTTTCCATATATATGTATATAATCTGTCAACTTGATACAAAATAAAATTTCAACTTTTTAAAAGTTAAAAATGTGACTTTCTCACTTTTGATTGTTTTTCTGCTTAATATGTGTTTGTATATTGCCTTCCATTCTTAATTTTGTCTGGGAACAGAGAAAAAGAGTGAAATGAGCATTATATTTTTTTGGCAGCAAGAGATGCTAATTTCTGAGAAAACTGGTTATATATTCATTTATCTGTTTGTTCCTTAGCATGACTATATGAAGGAAGGGAAGGTTTTTCTGAAGATGAGGCGACTGAATCGGAAGAAAACCTTAAGTTTGGTGAAAGAGTTAGACGCCTTTCCCAAGGTTCCTGACAGCTATGTGGAGACATCAGCCAGTGGGGGAACAGGTGAGCTTGCTTCAGACTGCCTTACGCATCACCAGCATATGGGCGCTGGCCGTGAGGACGAGCTCATGCTGGATCTTTAATGGCTTTGTAGCTGCTCATCCTTGCCCAATTGCTCTGCTTTTATTTACTCTCTGTAATGTCTGGCAGAGCCTCTGTGCAGTTAGCAGTATTATTAAATCTTAATGAGCAAGTAGTACAATTTATACTTTGGTGATTTTCCAGTTGTGTGTTACTGTGTTTATATGTTATTGGGCATATAACATTACACAATACATCTATATATTTTATTATAATGCTGACACAGCCCTGTTCCTGTTCTGGGTTGGATGACAGTAAGGACTTGCTATAATAAAGTCCTCAGAATGGAGTGAGAGCTAGTTCAGTTACATCTGTCTGCCTTAGCTCTTCAATGACATAAGGATATTAGCATTTATGTTGCTAGAGTTAATGTCTTAATTATGTAACTTTTCTGTAAGTGCTTAGAGCAACACTTGGTACAAATAAGAGTGTTAAGTAAAGTACGTGATAGACTATGTAAGAAAAATCTATACCTATAATGATACTTCCTATTATTTTTTCCCTGTGAATTAATAAGGTAACATTTCATATGCTTTAGCAATGTCATTGGGTAAAAAAATGTACAATGAAGAGTGCCTATAACTCGGTAATGCTGGCCTAGCATGTGTGGAGCCCAGGTTTTGAACTCAGCATGGTGGGCATGGGGGCACATGCCTGTTCCCAACACTAGGAAGGTGGAGGCAGGAAGATCTCACTTTTAGATCATTCTTGGTTACATAGCCAGTTATAGACTAGCCTGAACTACTTGAAATTCTGACTCAAAACAAAACAAAAAGCTAAAACCCTAACTGAATAAAAATAGAGGGCAATAAAATGGCTTGCTACTTCTAACCCCTGTGAGAAAAAAGAGTGCCAGTTCTTGTTGCACAGCCTGCCGTGTGTCTTGTATTATTTAGTGAATTCTTTTGGCTGGGATTTTACTTAATATGCAGCGTAGTAATATATTTAGGATGTTGCAAAGTAGATGAAAGTATTTTAGGAACTTGGAGAGCTTTTGATTTTTCTGGCTCACAGATATTGTAGCATCTCAGGACCTCATTTGTTCATTTGTTTTAAATTGCATTATGAGCATATACGTATTTCTTAATAATGAGGGAAGTGTTTTTAAATTGGTGTTGTCAACATACTTATTATATTAGTTATCCTATCTTGACTTCTGTGTAGCAATACAAACCTGTGCTGTGTAAAATTTTGATAAGCCCGTCTGGCGACAGACACTGTTGAAACTGAAGTCAAGCCATTCTTTCTCAGAATGCGGATGTTTGTGCTCTAGGTTTTTATTTCTGAGCTGTTTTCAAGCATCTGTAACATTTTAAGGGAATTATTTATACTGTTTATTTAAATAATGTTCATGTTGGACACTTTTTTTCCTCATTTTAATTCTGCTTAAGATAAGTGTTTACTTTTTTTGTTTTAATTCTGTTTGTCTCTTTTTGATTCCTCAGTTTCTCTAATAGCATTTACAACTATGGCTTTATTAACAATAATGGAATTCTCCGTGTATCAAGATACGTGGATGAAGTATGAATATGAAGTAGACAAGGATTTTTCTAGGTAACTAAGTTTTCTTGTTTAAAGGCCATGTAAAGCCAGCTGTGGTGGTGTACACCGTTATTCCCAGCAGTCTGGAGGCAGAAACAAATGACTCTCTATGAGTTCAAGGCCAGCCTGATCTATATAGTGAGTTCCAGACCAGCCAGGGCTGTACAGTGAGAGCCTGTCGTAGAGCCTGTAAAATCCATAGCATCCTGGCAGTTTGCTCTCTTTTGTTCTGACCCAGGCCTGGCTCTAAGGCTGTTTGGCATGTGTGGCAGGCATGTATGCTTCTCTGAGCACTGATACTTGAACCTGGAGCATCTGCATGATAATTCCATGTTAAGAAAGATGACTGACTGTTAAGCATGGAGAAACAGAAATGTTTTCTGAATAGCCACTTAAGGGGAACTTTTAGGAGGCCAGAGGGATGGGTGGCTCAGTGGTTAAGAGTTCACATTGCTTTTGTAGAGGGTCAGAGTTCAGCTCCCCCTACCCACAGCAGGTGGTTCACACAAAAGAGATTTTTTAAATGTTCTCTTTCTCATTGTAAGGAATGCAAGTTAAGTTCTAGCTTGAGCTTTACTATCTGAAATGCACATTTTTTATAGGTGGGTTGGTTTTCATTTCTGGTGTTTTGCTGATTGATAGGTACTGATGGCTGCCCTTTTCTTTTTCAGCAAGTTGAGAATCAACATAGACATTACCGTTGCCATGAAGTGTCAGTGTGAGTACACCTTCACCACCGCCAGGCTGTCAACTCACTGACTTTCCTGACCATGAGAGGTTTAACTTGAACATGACTCCAGTGCAAAGAAAAGTGTATCGAGGCTTTTGCAGTCAGAGTTGTGGTTTAGGTAGCCTGTCTTCCTGGGGAGGGCCAGGCTTTCTACCCATACCCACATTGCATTGTCTCACCCGACCCTCGTACAGCCTTACTCTGCAGCTCAAAGTACAGGTGCAGGGTTTCTGTTAGGTGAGGGGCGATGAGTTTCCTTTTCTGCCCCAACCCTGGCCGTGCTTAGTTGTACTGATAAAAGCGGAAAGGTACCAGTGTCTGGTGGATTATGCTTGAATCAGCCATGATGCTTTGTATGGAAGTCATCTTCTAAGTTACTGCTTGGAAAGTGGAGACCACTAAGACAAAGGGATCAGCTCTAGGAGAGTTCATCACAGAACAACAAAGTCTCATTGTTCAATTTCAGTTTTCTTCATGTTAATGGTTGTAAGATATAAGGAAATACATTATAACTAAATTTTGAGTTAGCACTGATTGTGAATTTTGCCATATTTGAATATTTAAATACCATTAAAATTTTAGCCTTTCAAAGTAAAAATTTCCTATTTGGTACTTTTTAAAGTCTCAGTAGATATGCCTTATAATTTCTTTGAATCCTTAAAATAATTCTTGTGATTAATATTGTGTTCAGCATTTTAAGTACCTAGAGGCTATTTAATTTTGGCAAGCTAGTCAGTCAATTAACCTTAGCTTTTTTGCTATATGTCATCTTTTTCAGAACAAGAAGGAGAAAAATAAAATCATTTTCAAATTTTCAGAATACTGTCTACAAAATCTACATAATGCTTCTGTTTTACTTTTGAACAAATGAAGGTTATCTCAGTTGTTTTATAGCAGATGATAGTTTTGATTGAAGTGTAGAGTGTAAAAACTTTGTTTTAATGCAGATGTTGGAGCAGATGTTCTGGATTTAGCAGAGACCATGGTTGCATCTGCAGATGGTCTATCTTATGAACCAGTAAGTTTGATTTATGTGGTTTTTAAATGTGTGCTGAAAATACTTTAGATATTGGTTCTTAGTTTTTACTGATACCTAATATCAAAATCTTGAGATTGGAATACAGCTGGCATTTTGGATAGGCCTCTGATGTCCTTACATTTCAAGTCAGTGCTTCCTATCAGGTCATCTTTCTCTTGTATTTGTCGTAAGAATGGAAGTTTGTACTTTGTAATTGTCTCAGGACTTTGACCTAGGTGACTTTCACCAAGCCTAAATCTTTGAACTGTAGCTTTCTTATCACAATGTGAGGGAATCTCATTAGAATTTACCTTTCCCAATGCTGATATTCTCTTAATTTGTTTCAAAGTACAAGTTACTTATAACATAGCTGACTCACCACATAGCACATTACAGGGCAGGTTCGCTTGTGTCATACCTGACCAGGACTAGCTCTCACACAGCTTCAGAAAAGGCATGTGGCCCACTGGCCTCATGGCATGTAGTTTATGTGCAGTTCATTTTTAAATTCATTTTCTTATAACTAAGCAAACCTGAAGAATAATGACTGAAGATTGAGGAAAAGTAGAACTCATTGACTGAGTTGAAACAAGAATATCCCCTGGACTAGTTCTGATCACCTAATTAACTCAAATTTACAGCAAGAAATACATATTTGTCTTTGATGCACTTGTTTTCATTACTTAAGTCACTGTTAAGTCACTGACTATATCCCTGTCAGAGACAGCTTGAGGGAGGAGCTTGTTCGTTTTGGCTTACAGATTCAGAGGGTTCAGGCTATGGTCACTTGACCTCTTATAGTTGGGCAGAACATCATGGATGCTGGAATGTATGTGACAGAGGAGCATTTGTCCCATGGTTGACAGGTGACAGACAGGAAAAGGCCAGGTTAAGACACCTGAAGTCAACACCAGCCCAGTGACTTACTTCCTCAAGTTTCTACAGTTGTACCATCAGCAGGGGTCCTGGATTTTACTTAGAAACCCAAAGCAGATAGTTCATATTCAGATCATAAAGCACTCCTAAAGCAGAAATGTTGATAGAAAAGTAATTTATTGTGGCTATTCTTATCCCCTCTTCTAATCTCTATTTTTCCACTAACAAAGTTTATTTTATAGTAGTTTACACAGACGAAGTAAATGTAATTTGCTTTATAAATTCAGATACCATTACAATGTATTAGAGTGTGATCTGTAGGCTTGGATCCAAATGGTTACCAGTAGACACTGAGACATTTGCATTTTACACTGTTTTCAGAATATTCAGTTATAGTGCTTTTTCATAGCTCATTTACACATGTGCATGTCCATTGAGACCTGAGGTTAGCCTCTGGTGTCGTTGGAAAGGTGCTGTCCACACACATGTTGCATGTTTGGCTGTTTTGCATGGGATCAGACTCAGTTCTTCATGCTTTGCCAGCCAAGCATTCTCCCTTGCTCTGACCTTTGTTCTTTTGTTCATCTCATGGGGAACGTTTTGTGGTTTCTTTTTCAGCAAAGGTGTGAGGCTTTGCTCTGTGACTTTCTTTTCAGGAGGGAGGGCTGCAGGTGCTTGAGCTCCTTCCCACTGACGCTGTGTCCTAGCTGTCACCTGTCTCCCTACCCCCATCCCCAGTGTTGCTCTTCTAGTTTTTGTTAGTTATGATGGGTTAGAGTGGCTTTAAGTCCTAAAACAGCCATTTTCCTATAAATGTCAGTGACTACACAGGAAAATAGTTGTCATTAGTAAAGTTTCTCTATGCTATCTTTGAATACACCATTACAGATTAAATCATGAATGATTTTTAGTAGTGCCATGATTTTATGTTTCTTGTTCACAGAAAAACATTTAACCTTGTGATACATGAATGCCAAGGGATTTGCCAGTGACTGTTCTCCTTTTTTGCAGGCAGTATTTGACCTTTCACCCCATCAGAGAGAGTGGCAGAGGTAAAGTGTGAACAGTGTCATCACCATAGAAACCTAGACTACTTTTGTCTGTTGGAATCTGTGCATATTTTAAAACATTTTAGTGTATAAACAATCCTTATGACCCCAGAAACTATCAGATCTTAAGAAAGTCATGTGTAACCTTTCCTGTAGCATATTTTGAATCATAAATAAATTTTAGCTTTTATTTAAAATTTTGCTTAACTTAAAAAAATTTAACCATGAAAGTATGTGAACATTGTTTAGAATTTGGTTTGGAGCCAGGTGTGATGATACATATCTATAATCCCAGCATTTGAAGGCTGAAGCCAGGAGAAGTTCACCTCTTCCCTGGGATAAATAGTAAGTTTCAGGACATGGATTAAATGTCTCAGAAACAGACAAAAGGTTCATTTTATGATAACATAAAGGAGAAGCTTCATTCTCGGAACTGCAGAACCATGAGTGATGAGAGCCAAGTGTGACTCCCTAGGAACTTTGTGTCAGAACCTGTTGTTCGTCAGTGTGCTGCTTGTCTGTTCCTGGCGTTTGCTTGAGGAAAGGTATTTTCCCCATCCCATTTTGGTTCCCAAGATAGTTTTCTAATTTCAGATTATTACCAGAAATGTACTTAAATGTTTGTTTGTTTTTTGAGACAGGATTTCTCTGTGTAACCCAAACTGTCCTGGAACTCACTCTGTAGACCAGGCTGGCCTCAAACTCACAGAGCTCCGCCTGCCTTTGCCTCCTGAGTGCTGGGTTTAAAGGTGTGCGCCATCACTGCCAGCCTGTTTTTTTTTTTTTTTTTCTAATCCCTGCTACACCAATTTTCCTGATTGGAAGAAATATTGAAATTAAATATAGTTGAACAAAAGCAGTGAATATTAGGGCTTTCTGGATTTCTAGCACTTTATTAGAAAGCTCAATCTAGAGATGAAATGTTACTTTTATCCAGAAATATTAAAGTGAGAGTCAGGTGTGCGGTGCATACTTGTAATCCCAGTAATTAAGAGGCTGGGGCAGGGAAGTGAACCCCAGTACTGGAAGAGCAGAGAGCACTGTTAACCCTCGAGTCTTGTCTCCTGACCCATGCTGGCTCCTTTTTATCTAGAATTCTATTAAGTCTTACAAAGGAAAATGAGTGGGAGCAGAGACTTTATTAAGTAAGAGGGCTTTCTCATCATGCTTGGGTTTTCTATACATCTTCAGACAGAGTTCATGCTTGCTGTTGGTTGGTCTCCTCCAAGCAGAAGTCTCACACAATTTCCTCAAACTTGAACTTTGAGACTTAAAAAAGATGGAAAGCTCTCAGGTTCTGGGCTTAGCTCCAAAGTTTATGTCTTTAGATGTAGAATCTGCTTTCTAGATCTTTCTTAATCATAATGTTCTGCTTCTAAATGGGTATTGTAATGTAGTGGGGGAATCTGCAAGGCCTGTCACTTTCTAGTAAGGTACATGCTAGAATGTCCTTTGCCTTTGGAATTGACTCTCGCAGTGGGTGGTTTGCCTTTCATTAAGATCGCAGCATTTTTAGAAGACAATTTCAAACTTTGGACACAGCCTTTTGGGATATCTGCTTTTTCTTTCTATATTTAAGGTTTATTTCAAACTAAATTTACTGTGTAAATTTGATTTTAATGTTAACAAAACAGGCCTGTTAACCCAGTATTCTAGATGGATAGTGCATAGTTTCTCATTTCTGTGTTTATACAATACTTTTGCTATGGTGGTGAGATATGGCATATTATGAGATAAGCTTACAGCAAGGGTGAGTGGAAAGAGAAGAATTCCCATGCCTCATTCTCCTTTATGAGCACTGAGCACCAGAATGACTTAGTTGTCATGTTGATGAGACTGCATGGACCCAATGTTTCCCACAGTCTGTAGTTCACTTGGGAGCTCCTTCTTGGAGGTCTCTCTTTTGAGTGGACAGTTAAGGCTAATGATATGTATCCACCATTGTACCATCAAGAGCAGTTTCACGGCTCTAAAAGTCCTTGCTCTCACCGCTCGTTTCTCCCCACCGTGTGTAGTTTGCATGCTGTGACTTTTGAGGTGTTACCTATTTAAGGTCATGTCGAAGGAGATGAATCTCAGCGTTGTTTTATTTTTTGTTGTAGACTTATTTTTACTGTGTATGTTTGAACACTTTAAAATTTTTTAATTTTTAGATTTATTTTGTATGTTTAAGTGTTCTGCTTGAATCTGTGTCTGTGTACCATGTGCATCCTGGAACTAGAGTTATGGGCAGATGTGAATACACCACGTGGGTGCTAGGAATCAAACCTAGGACCTCAGCAAGTGTTCATAACCATTTCTCCAGCCCTCCATGTATGGTGTCCCATCTGCATGTATGTCTGTGTTCTGTGTGCCACCTGTGTGTCTAGTTCCTGGAGAGGCAAGAAGAGGACATTGGAGTCACAAATGGTTGTTTTTTGTGGGTGCTGGGAACTGAGCCCAGGTCCTCTGGAAAAAACGTGTTCTTCACCACTGAGCCATCTCCTCCAGCATTGTTTCTTAAATGGAGCCTTTGTTTTCTACAATTCTGTTGACTATGTTCTAACAGTTATATGAAGACTAGCTGTAATACCCTGCTTAGAATGGTCCTTTAGAATAAAGTCTTCTTCTTTTGGGAATGTAGACACCAGGTGATACTAAGTGGTGCCATGACTTAGTTTATAATAAATAGGCCTTTGGGTTGTATCTCAATAATCTGCAGCCTCCTATGCAATGCTGTCTGTGTGACCTGCACTTAGTTTGTTCTTCATAGCAACAGCACTGATTTCAGTGCTGGACAGAAGCGAAATTTCCTAATTGTGTGTGAAAGGTGAGCTTCGATGCTCAGCAGAGCAACAGTTGCCCGTGGTGCCTCTGACTACCTGTGCATTAAACTGCGACCCATCCTACCTCACTTCCGAGAAAAGTTGATCAACATCCTTCTGGAATGTAATCCTGTAATAAACATACGGTTGTCTTAGTCAGAAGCCTGGTTGTAGTTGAGCAGAGTCTTGGCTTGGTGTGTATTTTACTATTTTGTCACATTTAGGATGCTGCAGCTGATTCAGAGCAGGCTGCAAGAAGAACACTCCCTTCAAGACGTGATATTCAAAAGTGCTTTTAAAAGTGCATCAACGGCACTGCCACCAAGGTGAGAGAGGTGCTTCAGAAGTTCATTTGTTTTCCAGAAATGTACTTTGATGTAGTTTTAGTATTGGCCTGCTGTTCTTTCTTTGAAAGTGTTTTATGCATTTAAGGTATCTTGCCTATGATTTTTGAGCTTTTTATGAGTTTACTTTGTATGTGTAGTGTGTCTCTATATAAAATTCTACTGGTTAGGAATTTGTTTTTACTCTTGTATTAGAATAGGTAACAAGAATTGTTGTAATTATGAAAATGATTTTCCAAATTTAAAAATATACAAAGATTTTATATTGACTTGGGAAGAAAATCCCAATTTGCACTTGGGTGCCCTTTCCTGATCTCGATGTTATGTCACCCAGCTGCACCACAGAGATACATGAGGGGAGTCTGTAGCCGTTGGACTCTTCCTTTGATTTTCAGCTCTCCTGCATTGGACTTAGTCCTTTGGGTAGCCTTGAAGATACATAATGACGTGTATTTATGTAACTATAATGGCTATATGGCAACTCTTAAGTAGATTTAAACTACTGCCCCAGTGTTGACATTTAGGACATTAGGTAAAAGTTTTTGTTTTTGGGGAGTCGTTTTTTCTTCTGTGCCATTTTCACACCAGTACATGGTCTCTATGGTAGATGGGCACCAAGATACCTGAATGTGTCACGCCAGTACATGGTCTCTATGTCGAATGAGTATTAAGACACCTGAATGTGTCTTGCTTTACAGGGAAGATGATTCATCACTGACTCCAGATGCATGCAGAATCCATGGTCATCTCTATGTCAATAAAGTAGCAGGGAATTTTCACATAACTGTGGGCAAGTATGTTCTTTTCACTTCCTGAAGTTCTTTAGATGGGGTTGGAGCTTGATTGAAATTCCACCTTTTCCTAGTACACAGACAATCACAAAGGGCACTTAAAAGTGTTGTCTGTAGGTAAATAGGAATTAAAACCTCTTATTTGTAACTTTTGTAGCCAGAGAGCCTGACCTTAGATGTTCCATCGTTGTCTTCATTTATTGATAGTAGGTTTTTGTTTTGTTAACCCTTTGGTAGTTCTCATCAAACTGCAGTCCCTGAGTAATTCTAGAAAAATTAAAAAGTTAGTAATGTGTAGTGTGAAGTAATTTAGGCGAAAACTGTCACTCATCCTCCTGAATATAATCCAGCATCACAAAAAGATCTTGGCAGTTTTCACCATGGGTAAACATCTGCTCCCCAGCTTCCTCTATGCAGGGAGACCTGATGAAGGGAGACAGTGAAGACACTGTCTCAGCCATTGTCTGAATACTCGCCACGTGCAGAGTACAGCCTGGAGACTCAGTGTCAAGCAGTGAAAAGAGGAAAACCTTTACTCCTCTGCATGCTGAAGTCCTACAAGAATATTCAGACTTTGACCAGTAGCTACATTAGCTATTACTGAATTGTAGTTGTAGTGAGGCTGTAGAGGAGATTTATACCTGATAAGAGGAAACTTTGGAATTGTATGGAGTTAGGAGTTTATATATAACAGAGAGCATGTCACGGAAAAGAACCTGCTCAAAGGGTGGCTTTGTTTTTTGTTTGTTTGTTTATAAAGAGAGAACATTATGTGTATTTATTTTAGACCAGGAAAGACTTTATCGATTATAATGCTCAGATCAAAATTTATTTTTTCTTTGTTGTGCTTTTCTCCTGCAAATTCAAGCTTGGTTGCTTGGCCACTGTTGAATGCTCATTTACCAGCTGTATACGGTCCTAGGGTCTTTGAAGCCTTGGCCCCATAGTTCAGCTTGTGGTGGAGAAGGCTCATTACAGCTCCCCTTGCAACAGTGCCCTAGTCCAAAAGGAAGCACAGCATGAGCTTCTGCATTATGGCCTATATTTTATTTTTGGCCGTTCCCCCCAATTTTATACCTTTCAGCAGATGATAATGGTAACTTATGCTATATATTTAACAGACCCCAAGGAAAAGATTTTGTTGTGTCTCATAAACTCCAGGAGACTTACCTTTTTTTTTTTTTTTGGTGGTTGGTTTGTCAAGCTCAATGGTGATCCAATTACCTGTTGAGTGCAATGGCAGTCCTAGCTGTACATCAGAGGATAGTTCAAAGAACATGAGTATGGTTGGAAATGTGGTGCATACCAAAGTATACAAGGAAGAGGACTATACTTGGCATTTAGGCATAGAGTTGTGACCAGGTAAACAAGTGCAGGCCACTGAGATGATGGTGAGTGCTGTGTCTGTTGACGGGATGGTATTTGAACACTGAACAACACAGGATAGTGAGTCTTCCCTGAGTTCCCAGCATATGTCCAAGTACCCATGGGTACTGTATGTAGCTGAACAGAGTTGAGGCTAGTCAGTAGTTTCTCATGTGTGCATTGCCCCAGAGGCTACCTAAGAGTTCTTTGTGAGTGAGGTGATTCTCTTCAGGATGTTTTGTTTCCTGTCTGTGGTTCCTGGATGCCGATAAACCAGTAAGTGCCGCAATCTAAAAGCCTCTCTTTAGCCTACTGAGGTTCAGAACTGTTCTCCTTTCACTGCTTGGGCCCATCGGATGGGTTAGATAATATGTCAGAAAACAAGCGGGAACACTGAAGCATTTAACATTTGTGATTTTGAAGGGAGGTGCTTGCTTATGCTGTTAACCATAAAATTTTAGTGTAGGTTTCCTAACACAAAGGGGAAGACATAATCTGAAACAATTGTAAGTTCTTCACAGACCTTAGGTTGTGAGAGACTACTGTAGTTTATAATTTCATCATTCACAAGAATGCCTGTCTCTGCATTTGGAGCCTACAGTAGGAACACAGTGATGGTGTCAGTGGGACAGGAGTGATCTGCGGCTGTAGTGTTTCTGTTTAGTGCACTCAACCAAGCACAGGGGCTGCCAGAGGTAGCTAACGGTCCTTATGATAGACAAAGTGCCTGTGCTGCAGAATGAGGTAAACATGAGTTGAGACCTGTTGGGGCACACTAGAACTTGACAATGCCATTACTACTAATCAGGAAAGATGGGCACATTATGGACATTTTTTATTTGAGTGTCATAGTTGCTAAAATTGATTACTGGATAAGACACAAATAGGAATAGCATGGGGGAAATCTTCACAGTGATGTTTTAACTTTTCTCTTTTAAATTAAGATCAGGAAAGGACAGTCATTATTCTTAGTAGTACCAAAAGAATGAGGAATAGGCTAAGCTTGAGAGAGAACAGAGTAAGTAGATGACAGCGTGGATTCCAGATGCAGTTCACTACCTTTTTTGTTAACGAGAAAGTTCAGAATTGCATTCTAACTGGGTGTGGTGCACACACTTTAATTAATCTCAGTGCTTTGTGTTTGAGACCAGCCTGGCCGACACAGTGAGTTCCAGGCCAGCCAGGGTTACCAGGTGAGATCCTGTCTTACTTCCCTATTGCCGAAAAGATGAAGTTTTGTTGAAAGGTAGCTGTGCTTATCTGTTTGCACAGGACCTCTTTTACATTACAGTGTCATGTTGAGGATGGAGAAGTTGACTTGACTATGCTTAGCAGTATTGCTTGGTGCACCACAGGGCAGCTGATAGTGTCATGTACATTCTGCACTTAGTTATTATATTACCGTGTCAAAACCATAGAAATACGGGCTCTAGTTGTCATACTTTTAAATTACCATCTAACTTGGACACAGAGTATTGTGATGAGCTGTAATGACACTATGCCTGCACCTAAAGAACACTGTGTTGATACTATTAGACTAACCAAGTATCCATCACAGTAGTTCCAACTCCACAGGAAAATAAACGGTGGTCAGGAAATTAGAAAGTTTAAAGTAAAATGTGTAGTAGAATTTCTCAGTGAAAACGAAGTTACAGTCGAGTGTCACTGAAAACACAAATCCATAAGCACACTTCAACTGAGGGGATTCATTCCCTTGAATGAATTTCTAGAATACTATTAGAGTCTTTTCTTTATATTTTGTATATCACAGATCAGTAATTTTCAATTTAAAAGAGGATTTGTGAAATATTTTAGGTCATTACCAGACAAATTTGAGATCATTATTGAAATTAGGAACACCAACTTAAACCTCAGTAAGCAAAGACATTTCCCTGGAAAGCAGATGTGATGAGCTACAGAATGAACTCAATTATTAGGGTTTTATGTTTCATTGATAATTGTTTATGAAATGGTATTCTCATTATGTGGCCATGTAATACCCTTGGTTTCTTGGCTCATAAATATTTAACACATTTTCCATTTGGCTTTTGGCAGCCCTGAGCTTATCACATTGCAGAGATGGTTTAGCTATGGGCCAGATGCACCACTCTTACTTTGCAATACATGCTGCTGAATGACAGGGAAGGTTGGCCTTCTTGTTAGTTATATGTTTGTTTTTTTCTCCTTTCAGGGCAATCCCACATCCCCGAGGGCATGCACATTTGGCAGCACTTGTCAACCATGATTGTGAGCAATTTCTGGGATTTTGTTTTAGCGTAGAAAAGTTTTCAAGAGAAGTTAATTGTGTGTGTGTGTGTTTCATTTGTTTTAGTGCAAACACAAAGGTAGAGCTTTCAAAGTAAACTTGACTCATGTAGTTCATGTGGTGGCATACACCTTCTGCTTTTAATCCCAGCAATCCCAAGACAGAGACAGGTTGATCTCTGTGAGTTCCAGGCAAACCAGGACTACATAGCTTGAGCCTCAAAAATAAGTAAATAAAAGTGTTAACTAAGTGTCGGCACCTGTAACCACAGCACTTAGGAGGATTAAGCAGGGGATTGCTGTGAATTTGAAGTTAGTTTGTGCTGCATGGTGAGTGAGTGTCATGTCAGTGAACGGCAGGACCCTGTCACAGAAAGCAAAAGCTAAACAAAAGTAAACTGTAAGTTCGCTGTCCAGAAGTCCCGCAGTTATGGGGAATCCCAGAAGTGCTTGGTGTCATTCTATATATTTCTAATAACAAAGAGACCATATCTGAAGTTTACCTCAGTTTGTGGATACAGATACAGGGATGTGTACACACACACACACACACACACACACACACACACACACACACACATTCATATAATGATTATCGTAAAACTTAAGTGTTTTTTGAGCGTGGGATTGAGTGAAGCATGTTTGCATGTGGCTGGGTTGGCATAAGACTGCAAATAGCCTTGAGTGACCCAGAATACCTGATCCTCTTGCGTCTATCTTCCACGTGCTGGGATTACAAGCTTGTACCACTGCACCAAGCAAGACTTTCTATAAAAATGGGTTATAGTAATGGTGTATATTAAAAATATCTGTGATCACTTTCATTATCTGACTAATATCATCCTAGGTGTTCTCATGGCGTGGTCTTGTTTCTGTAAGATGTTTAGAATCAAGAAAGTTGCAGGTTTTAGACATGAGGATTAAATAAGACATCTAATAGAAATTTGTATAAAGCCAGGTGGTGGTGGCACACGCCTTTTGTCCCAGCACTCAGGAGGCAGAGGCAGGCGGATCTCTGTGAGTTTGAGGTGCCTGGTTTACAGTGCGAGTTCTGGTATAGCTGGGGCTATACAGAGAAACCCTGTCTCAAAAAAAACAACAACAATAAAAGAAATTTGTATGTAATCATAAGATTTGAGACATTTTATCAGAATTCGCTTATAGTACATTTCTCATGTATTTTTCTTAACATGTTATTTTAAGTATTATTAAACTTAGTAAATTTATTAAACTTACTAAATTTTAGATGATTTTGAGAGTTGGTGAGACTATAAAACCATCTGTAGCAAGACGCTTTAAAGAGTAATATACTTTCTCTGCCTTTATCTTTTTCTTTTAGCGTACAACTTTTCTCACAGAATAGATCATTTGTCTTTTGGAGAGCTTGTTCCAGGAATTATTAATCCTTTAGATGGAACTGAAAAGATTGCTGTAGATCGTAAGTATTTAATAATTGGTCTTAGAATTTACATGCAGGAAATTCTCTGGAAAACCTTAATTCTGATGTGTTTTTACTCCTCCTATTACCCTTGTGAAGGGAGCTGAGAACGTGGTAGAAGTGAATGGGATTTGAATGTTAAAAAGTAAGTTCCACAAGAGATTGAAGAGATAAAGGGCAGGAGGGGTTGATGTGTTGGTAATGGTGTAGCTGTCCTTTCCACAGTAACCAGATAGAGAAGCTCTAGAATGCTGTGTGGTTTTGTAGGAAGCTCCATGCAGTGTCCCCAACACAAGAAAACTAGTTACTCCAGAGTACTGGTGGTGTGATATCTGGTGGTGCTGTGAGTACAGCCAGGTGTATGATATCACAACAGCCATGTGTGTTTGTTTTTAAGCCTCTACTCCAAGTGAAGTTACTTCCTTAGTTTTGTAGCAAGTGGTACATAGCCTGTTTTCAGGTGACTTTGTTGTTACTTTGAGATAGCGTTTTACCATTTAGATCAGGCTGGCCTCGAAGTAGCAATATAGTCCAAGCTGGCCTTGAACTGACAGCAGTCCTCCTAGGATTATAGGCTTGTGTTACTGTGTGAGTTTGTTTTTGTATGTTGTTTTTTTTTTTTGTTTTGTTTTGTAACTTGTATTAATCCTGTTGATGCCTGGTGACTGTAGAAATGACCTTTTGATTGAATAGCAATCACTGAGCAGCTTGTTTAGTTACTTTTTACTCTCTTGTCACTTTCAGATGTTGCATGAATTCTAATCGGTATTAATAATAAAAACCCAGAGTCAGATATTGGGGGGAGGGGAAGCTGAAAGATCACAGAAGCAAAGCAACCAGCCATTGACTCTTACCTAGACCTCAGCCCGAATGGGCACTCCTGTCTCCATGAATCCTCAGACTACACTGAACTCCTGTTTCCTCCTGCCGTGTATTCCTCCCAGCCATATCACTCCTGTCTCCACCTCCCTAGTGCTGGGATAAAGGGCGTGTGATCCCAAGTGCTGGGATCACCTTTGTGTGAGCTGTTTCTCTTGTAGACAGATTGAATCTCGTGTAGCCCAGCATCTGCCTCTGTCTCCCAGTTGCTGGGATTAAAGGTGTGTGTTACCACTGCCTGACCTCTATGGCTAACTAGTGTGGCTAGCTCTGTGCTCTGATCTTCAGGCAAGCTTTATTTGTTAGATCATAAGCAAAATAACAACACCGCACCCAGAGTCTGGCAAGTCCAACTTTAGTTTACTGGTATATTTAAGATCAACAGATAATGAGAACTGTGGTTACTGTTGCAATGACATCTAGGTTTTACCAGTGTTTCTATGCTGAAGGGATACTGCTTATTTCCCAGGCATGGTTGTCAGTGCCTGAACTATACATGTGGGAACCTGCACAACTCTCGTGTCTTAATTGGGGCTTTGTTTTACCAAATATGAGTGCATTGTCTTCATTTTTAAAATATTATTTATTTGTTTTACATTCTGACTGCAGTTTTTCCTCCTCCAGTCTGGCCCTCCCCCATCCACTTCCTCTTTTTCTGTTTAGAAAGGGGTAGGCCTCCCATGGATATCATCAAAGTATAGCATATCCATTTGAAGTAAGACTAAGCAACTTGCCTTGTATTAAGGTTGGTCAAGGCTACCAAGTTCGAGGAATTAGGTCCCAGAGATCAGTACTAAGAGTCAGAGATTGCTCCTACTGTTAAGAATCTCACAAGAAGACCAAGCTACACAGCTATCACATAATATGCAAAGTAGGCTCCCTGGTTATCAGTTTAGTCTCTGAGCTTCCGTGAGCCCAGGTTAGTTGATTTTTGAGTTTCTTGTGATGTCCTTGACTCCTGGGTCCTATTGTCCTTCCTCCTCTCTTCAGCAGGATCCCTGAGCTTAGCCTAATGATTGGTTGTGGGTCTATGCATCTATTTCCACTAGCTGCTGGATGAAGCCTCTCTGATGACTGTTAGGCTAGGCACCAACCTATGAGTATAGCAGAATATTGTTTGGGATCATTTCACTGACTTTTTTTTCTCCAATCTGGGTTGTTTCTATCCTGGGTCTCTGGGTCCTGGTACTTCAGGCAATGTCAGGTAGACTCACTCTCTTGGCATGGATCCCAGGCTGGAGCAGTCATTGGTTGACCTCTCCTACAGTCTCTGTGCCACCTTTACCCCAGCACATCCCTTAGGCTGGACAGACTGTAGGTTGAAGGTTATATGGCTGGTTGTGTTGGTGTCCTGCTCCCTCTACTGGTAGTCTTGCCTAGTCACAGGAGATAACCAGTTTTTTTTTTTTTTCTTTCCCAGACAGGGTTTCTCTGTATTGTTTTGGAGGCTGTTCTGGAACTCGCTCTGTAGACCAGGCTGACCTCGAACTCACAGAGATCCGCCCGCCTCTGCCTCCCGAGTGCTGGGATTAAAGTCATCCGCCACCAGCTCCCAGCCTGATAACCAGTTCTTAAAATTATTAATACTAAGTCGTGCACGGGCACCCCCACACTTCTTGTGTCCTAAGTGGGACTTTGTTTTACCAAATACGAGTATATTATTTTCATCAGCTTTTCTTTCTTTTAAAATTGTTTATCTATTATATACTAAAGCAAATCTATTATATTTAATAGATTTGATAGTATTCTGTTGCTACCGGATTGATGAGGCCTATTTTGTTTTTATTACAGACAACCAGATGTTCCAATATTTCATTACAGTTGTGCCAACAAAGCTACATACATACAAGATTTCAGCTGACACCCATCAGTTCTCTGTGACAGAAAGGGTAAGTAGGTCCTAATTGCTAAGATGACTGAGGGAGGGATTTTTTATAGTCTCCAACTGCAAGATAAAACTGGAGATTCAGCAGGCACTTTCCTCCATGTAAAAATTTATGGACGTTTTGAAATGAATTAGCATTTTAAGCAAAAATGCATCAGAAATGGGTATTAATGTATATGTTCTAGAGTTAAAAAGATTTTTAAAAATTGTTGGCAAATTACAAATTAAATTACGATGACAAGTTACTTTGTGAATTTTGATTTGTAATAGTCTTCTGTATTGATGCAGGCAGCTTGTATCTGCCTCTCAGGTTTTCTGGTTTCAGCTTGTATCTGCCTCTCAGGTTTTCTGGTTTCTTTGTTAGTCTTTGTAAGTGTCCTCCCTGAGTGTGCACACTTCAGCTAGTCTGTCAGTGCAGTGGGTCTGGTTGGAAGAGTCCTCTCCAGCCTCAGGCAGATGGAGAGGAAGAACAGGTTTGAACAGTGTCTGTTCTAGGCTATATTTCCTTGTAAATGGAGTAGGAAATTGCTACTACTCAAAAGCTGGTGCCTAGACGAATTCCATGGCATGTGAGAGCTTTCTACTCCATTCTCCCTCATTGACGGTGCTGTAGGTGATCATAACTAAAGCCTCAGTAACAGTAGGGATCCCCTTAGTCTTTTGAATTATGTTATTTCACAGGGCAAGTGTTAAGTGTCTAACTTGTCAAATGGTTCAAGGAACAAACACAGGTGGTTATATATGTGTGTGTGTGTATACATATGCACAGTAACTAGGTAAGTCTGTGTTGTACTCTCCAACATTTCTACAAGGGTAGGAAGATGTTTCTCACCAGCAATATTGACAGACACCTGGGAAACATTGTATAGGTTGGCAAGGCTTTGGGGCAAAGCAAGCAAGTGTATAGGATTATAGGATTGCCATAGGCTATAGAGAGTCTGGCTACATTTCCAAACTGGTGTGTGCATTGCTTCTGTTACAGCTATCCCTGTATTAGAAACCCCTTTCCAAGACACGGTGGGAAAAGGAAAATACTGCATGTATAAGGTTGTTCATTGTGTTACTATAATGATAGATAACTAGAAACAGCTCAGGTTATAAATCTAACCTGCAGGGCATGCAACTGTAAAGTGAAGGATGATGTTCGAATGTGAAATTATCTTCAGGATATATTTGAAAATGCAAAATTAAATCTAAAAGAAAAAAATCCATGTGTAAGGGGTGTTTGCTATTGGTGACTTAAGTATTTATCATTGTATTTATTGAGTTTTACAGTGCAGGCTAGGAGAGGAGCTGGCTACCGTCAGTTTTGGGAGCTCAGTTGAATTATTACTAGTCTTCTTCAGTGTTAGTAGATGCTCTGATCCCCAAGATAGCTTGCTTTATTGTAGGTGGTCACAGGATTTCCCTGTCTTCGATATGATACTGAGTTTTTGTATGAATTCACTGCTGGAAACTTGATTGGTGACTCTTATGTAAGGTTCTCCATGTTAGTAATAGGGAGGGGCTTTTGACTGTACTCTGTGTGTGTTCCTAACGCTTGCAGTTTAATTTCAGCTTAGTAGAAATAAAATGACAAGAAGCAATTGCAAAGGAAGAATACAAGAGCACATTACAGTATAAACTTGGTTTTTCTTGGGTTAGTTGTAAGTGCACGAATAAGCTGGTGTGTTTAAGATGACCATTTCTAAACATAGGTAAGAAAAGCTCAGTCTGGGTGGTTCTGTTTTGTTTTTGAAACAGTGCTTTGCTTCCTAGTATGGGATTACAGATGTGATTCTTTGAAAAGTTTACCCTACGAGAACACTGGTCGTTGTCTCTGAAGCGCTTAAAGTCTAGGGCAGTTGGCCCTGAGAAGTGGGACGATATGTATACACCCCTTCCTTGGTTAGGCATGTGTATTAGTACCCACATGACATGTGTTGTGTTTCTTTCCCCCTCTCCCCTTCCTCTCAGGAGCGCATCATTAACCATGCTGCAGGCAGCCATGGAGTCTCTGGGATATTTATGAAATACGATCTCAGTTCTCTGATGGTGACAGTCACTGAGGAACACATGCCTTTCTGGCAGTTTTTTGTAAGACTCTGTGGTATTATTGGAGGAATCTTTTCAACAACAGGTTAACATTCATTTTTTTTTTTTTTGTCTAATTTCCTTTTATATTGTTTTGTTTGAGATAAGCTCTTACCTATGTGTCTCTTGCTGGGATTGTAGGCACAAGTGGCCAAGTCTTGCTTTCTTTACCTGGTTTCTGAACTTAAGATGTTGGGAAGATAGTTCACTGATGAATTATGCCATAGCTTTCTGAGGCCCTCACTTTCTCAAGGCCCAGCACATCACATACACACACACACACACACACACACACACACACACACACACACACACACACACAAAACATAAAATTATGCCTCTATTAAAAGACAGCAAGAAATATACACATTTTCATGTTTTAGTAATTAGAGACTTCTTTGAATTCTAAAGCTCTAAAATATATTTCCTATCCTGTAAGCACACCTTACAGGAAATTCATGGGATAATGTAAGGAAGATTGTGTGTCCTGGGTGTTAATCACAGACACAGTTAGAATGGTGTCTGTGTTGTACCATTGACTTGGTATTCCTTAGATAGTTCACCTACCATTTCTGAGGAAATGCGCAGAAAGCCTCACAGATGTAGATTCCCCTTGATTTTAAATGTCTTTCCCTGTATACTGTATGAAGTCATGTTTTGTGGCATTTCGATTATGTCAGAAATGCTTTTGGTTTTTTCCCCCGAGATTCTGGAATCTTTAGAGATCCATTTTCAGCACTTGGCTACTCTGAGTAAGAAAGTTATATTCTTGGAGCCCTGTGTTGTTTTGGTTCATATTTTAAAACAAGTGAACAGCTTTTTTTTTTTAAATTTAAATTAGAAACAAGCTTGCTTCACATATCAATTGCAGCTCCCTCTCCCTCCTCTCCCCCCAACCCCCCCTCAATCCCCCTAGCCCCCCACCCAATCCTGGCTCTGCTCTCCAGGGAGGGTGAGGCCCTTCATGGGGGATCTCCAGAGTCTGTCATATCATCCAGGGCAGGGCCTAGACTCTCCCCCATGTGTCTAGGCTGACTGAGTATTCCTCCATGTGGAATGGGCCCCAAAAGTCTTATTCGTATGCCAGGGGTAAATACTGATCTACTACCCGAGGCCCCAAAGATTGCCCAGGTCTCCTCACTGACACCCACATTCAGGGGGTTTGGATCAGTTCCATGCTGGCCTCTCAGCCGTCAGTCTGGGGTCCATGAGCTCCCCCTTGTTCAGGTCAGCTGTCTCTGTGGGTTTCACCAGCCCCCGGTCTCGACCCCTTTGCTCATCAGTCCTCCCTCTCTGCAGCTGGGTTCCAGGAGTTCAGTTCAGTTCAGTGTTTAGGTGGGCAGCTTTTCTTACACCGTTCTATTGTGCTTTATTTTAGTTCTTTAAACCTATGTTATTTGCAAATTTCTGTGAGAAAGTCCTGAAAAGGTTGTATCAGGGTTGTGAGTTACGTGTGTGACCTTTGATTTTGGTAAAACATGTATTTTTAAATTCAAGCCTCTCTAGTAGTCTCAGAGGCAACTGCAGGCTGCATTGCTGCTTTTTGTCTGCAGTATCTTATTCTAATTAGCAGTTTAATAGAAAATTTGATCTTACTTTATTCATTACAGGCATGCTACATGGAATTGGAAAATTTATAGTGGAAATAATTTGCTGTCGTTTCAGACTTGGATCCTACAAGCCCGTCCATTCTGTAAGTGATACTACTTATAGTGCTTGTCTCTAAGTCATGTTGTTGCTTCTCATTAAGTAAACGTACAAAGGGTGGCCCCCATAAAGCCTTGTGATCAGAGACGACACACACAGTAGAGCTAACAGTCTGGTCTTCTCCTCTCCCTTAGGTCCCCTTTGAAGATGGCCACACAGACAACCACTTACCTCTTTTAGAAAATAATACACATTAGTACCTCCTGGGTGGAGAAAAACTTTTTGCCTGAAACAAAATTCTTTTCTAATAATAAAATGTGCAATATATTCAAAGAAAAAATAATATGAGAACCCGGAAACATACTTATTTAAAAAAAATAAACAAAAAAAAAAAAGAAAAAAAACAGCCAAGGGAAAAAACAAACTGAAGTCGTCCTGTACATGTTGTGTCTGTTACAAATGTCCTAGAAGAAATTATGCAGCTAACGGAAAAGACGGCCCAGCCGGAGTGCCAGGTGAAGACGGCACCTCTGATACTCTCCCCGCAAACGAACAGCATGGAGAGCAGAGCCTGGAGGATGGAAGGGAAACCATTTTTTAAAGAAAAGGGCATTGATAAATGCAAATGTGTGCGTCCTTTTGTTTTTAAAAGATGTCAGAATAAAATATGTAAAACATACAGAAAACTAGTCTAGACTTTAAAAAACTGTAATCCGCTCACATGGTTAATAAAGGAAACAGGGACTGGCCCTGTGTTACAGCCATATGAATGTTAAGCCATATTGACAAGACCATGTTGCGCAGTCCTGGGTTCTGATGGAGCTGACTGCTTGCCTTTGAACTCCAGTCGCTGACTTCCTGACTGCTAACAGTTGATTCTTAGAAGATTAAGGTGAAGTTTCCCAAGGGCAGGGCAGGTATATAAGTGCTATGAAATGTAACAGGTATCACTCACAGCTTGTACATGAGACACTGCCCGGAGAAGAAAGCACAGTTTAAAAAGATACAAGTTACTAATCTGTGAAATACGGTATGCTTGTGAGGAGTGGGAAACAGGATAGCTTCAAGTGCTCTGTACAAGCATAGGCACAAGTATAAAACTGGACCAGGAACAATGTGCTGCCTTCAGGGCTCTGGGCAGAACTGATGAGGCTAAAATAACTTGAGGGAGTCCTGTCAGGTGCTGTTAACAACTGCCGAATTCGTGTGCCAACCAGTTTCCCTCCTGGGATTCTTAAGGGCAGAAGCATCAGTAATCCCCAGGGCAAAATCATCGAGGGAGAGACTGGGTTTCTGTCTGTCCTGTCAGACACAGGACTACACTGATTACGGTGGCTTAGAATGTGGCCTGTCACAAATCGGTGGTGTTTCAAGTGAATGTTTTTACAAATTAAAAAAAAGCTTTCTTGAAAGAGGGTAGGCCATCAGGCAGGGAGGAGATAGCAGCAAAACACTCAACATTTTGTAGAAAATTAAAATTTCCGGTTATAATATGTAGTCTTAAGAATTGAGGTTAACAGTGTAATAATGTTTTAAATTTTTTAAAAATAATCCAGGGAATTTCAAATAATGAATGAGTCTTCTCTGAGGTTCTTGTTTCCTTCGGATTTTTTGTTTGGTTGGGTTTGCTTTTCCCTTAAATTTTATAGTTGGGCTAGAAACAAAACATCTCTCCAGAAGAATTTTGTTAGGGAGAACTGGAATGTTGACCACTTGAGACTGAACGTTGCTTTTCCATCTTTATTGCTAGAAAATTCAGTCAGGTTTCAGGGAAGAAAATACTGATTTAGAATTATTTTCAGTATTATAATGTCTTTAAAAGATTTTAAGTTATTTTTAATTGTTTCCATGTTTTCTAAGTGCCACATTAAAATCTTACTGAGATGTATCTTTTCCATTAAAATTGACTGGGAATTTGTTTAAAACAAGATTTTCTTTGCCATTGATTTCCATTTCAAGAACTAAGACTTTAATTTTCAAATAGTCAGGGCCACATTTTTGTCAGTAAAAGAATGAAAATTGTGATCATCTGTTTGGGTGATGAAGGAAGTGCAACTAGGATTTGTGGAAAGAGCTTTTGGCATCACCAGGGTTTCCTTTCCAGGCCAGAAATCCCTCACTGACTTGCCAGTCAGTTTCCTTATGCCCGTGGATCCCTAGAGCCAGGATACCGAAGTTTCTATTCAGTAGTCTTTTTTGTTTTCTTCAGGGGTGTGTGTATGTGTGTGTTTGTGTTCTAGTATTTTAGACCTCATTTACTTGACATGTATTTTTTATACTGTTTGTATACCCTGATTATAAAGACAGTAAATAATTAGATGAATATACTACTGTAGTGTTTAAACCGTGACTGTCTACCTCCTGAGACTGCCTGGCTTGGGGTAGAATGACAGCTCTACTTGTTCTCAACTTAGATGGGTATTGGAATCTTTTCTTTTTTATCAGATGCACAGAAAGGCTGTATATTTCATTGTCATCAGAATCTGTGATCTGAAACAACTCACAGTCTAATGCATAAAATGTAGTATTTTGGTAGATGTGTTGTAATTCAAATGCCAGGAAGTAAATTTACATGTAACTCCTTTACTTCTAAATTGTTTACACTTGTACTCTAAATTTTTTCAGTGGTTTAAGAAATACATGATCCAGAGCCTTGAGATCCTTAAAATTTAATTTCAGCATGCCATTTAATCTTGTAGCCTTTCTTCTTGTTTAGGCTTCTCAGATCCTTTATAATACTTATCGGAATGGTCATGGAGCCTGATGTGGCATGCATCTGTAATCCCAGAGTGAGGAAAGCAGTGTCCCTTGGGCTCAGGCCAGCTAGTCTTGCTGAGTCAGCAAAACTCTAGGGTCAGTGAGACCCTATGTGAAAAAATAAACGAAAAATGACAGAGGAAGATGCCCAACATTGACTGCTGGCCTTAACACATGGGTACATATATAAACATGTACACAAATATGAACTATGAACATCCATGTACACCACACTGGCTCAAATGAGTGGGTCTGTAGACAGCTGACAAGATTGCAGTCAGTAAATCATATTGGTGTTTAGGGTCTTTAATACTACTCTAAAATTAGCTCTTTTCTGAGTGCAACTCCTCTGGGCTTTAGGTAATACCTTAAAAGAACCTAGGAGATTGGGGGGGGGAGAGGGAGTCAGGGAGGGAGAGAGATCTCTTTAATACAGGCTTGATGCCTAGCAGGCCTACATCTGTCACTGGTCATGCTGTGGAAATATTTTGGATTTGTTTTTTTAGAAATGTACAGGTCACTTGGATAGCTGTAAGATTTTTCTTCTGTCAGGTTGGGTGTTGGATTTGGTGTCCTGAATATTTTCAGCAATGCTGTGTCCCTGAGAAGTCCCTGCTTCCAGCTCTGGTTGCTATTAAAGTTAATTTTTTTTCTAGAGTGGCGTATGTTTATTCTGTTTCACGTCTCTGACCCTAGTACACAGTATTTCAGATAAAAGAGGAAGATGCTTAAACTGTTCCGAGCCAGAAGACATGGTTCTGCTTAGACTTATTCCAGGTAAGCACCATTTGCCATAGAAGTAGCCACACTTTGTCATAGAATATCCAAACTCAGTTATTGCTAGGCTGGTTTTATGAACTTTTTTAGCCATGTCTTTAAAGTTGATTGTAGGCAGTGCCTCTTTTTTTTTTTTTTTTTTTTTTTTTAAACACACTTCCCTGGACATAGGAACCAATACTGCTTTTCAGTGTCGTAAGGCAGCAGGACCACAGTTCTAGAGAGGTAGCCATGTGAGCCCTGTGAGCTTTAAGTTACTGATGATTTTGGAAACTAGATGGATCTGATTTAATTTTCATGTTCATTGTGTTACAATAACGCGATGTTTTCACAGTAAAGATGGTCCCCATAAGCTTATATTTGAATGCTTAGTCACCAGGGAGTGAAACTGAAAGGAATTGTGTCAACAGGGTGGGCTTTGAGGTTTCAAAAGCCCATTCCAGGCCCCCTTCTCTCTTCCCCTCTGCCTGCAGATTAGGGTATAACTCTCAGGTACTGCCCCTGCACCACGTTCCCTGCCTGATGATAATGGGCTGAGCCTCTGAAACTGTAAGTACATAAAAGGAAGCATTAAATACGAGAATTGCCTTTTTTGTGGTGTCTCTTCACGACAATGGAACAGTGACTAAGACAAATACTGCTTGGAAGTTCGCTGTGGCAAATTACTTAAATGAGCTTGAAGTGGTACTAGGTGAATACAGAAGTATGAGAAGTGTTTTTCTGAAGTGTCAGCGTTAGTTGCTTTAGTGACTGTCTGATCACTGTCATCGAGTATCCTGTGGGTAAAGACTAGACGTTACCAAGACTTCCTGTTTGTATGTTTTCACTAGCCTATAGTAATAGAATAGAATATAATGGTTCATGTTAGCATTTATTTTTCACATATATAGAAGACACAGGTTGTAATCATCCCTCCCTCTTACCAGGACTTCTTTTCAAGCATGCACCTTTATACTTTTAACTCTGCACCCAAGTAGGTTCCCCCCCATTGGCTGTACATATATTGGGATTCATGTAGTTAATTGGTCCTGGGGTGTACTTCTCAATGATGGGGAATTTCCTGGAGAGGGGTTGTAGGAAGAGGCAGTTAAAGAACACTGGGGACGGTCTGATACTTCAGACTTTTATTTAATCAGAAATCAAACTAATATTCAATCCCTGGAGTTTGGGATTAATGAAACAATGATCAAAAGGTAGTAAATTTTTAATTTTTTTTTTAAATCCAGTCCTGTGTCTTGAGTTCCTGTTACTATTGTATCCATACCTGGTGTCTTTCATGTGACTTAGAAGTGTCCTGCAGATGTCTCACACGGGGAACCCACAGGTGCTCGTAACAGAGTTGAGTTTTTTGTCTGGAGAGTAGTCCCTGACCTTAATCTGACTTGCAGAAACTGTACCAGAAAGGACTCTCCTAACATGTTCCTCATGGAACTGAGGAGAGGTTAGCACCGGGCACACTTGGGCCACCAGAATGTAAGCATACACATGATAACTGCTTGTTTGTAGTTTTCAGTGATTCTGTGGTGGTTACTTTTTGATCCCAAATGCCTTATTTGAATAATTCATGTTTTTAGCATGCAGAGATCCTGCAGTCCAGTCCAAATCTCAAATATGAGCAAAATTGGGGTGATGATTTGTAAATGTATTAAGGTTTTTATTTGTATTTAAAATATTTAAGCAAAAACTTCACTTTTTCTGTTTTTGAGCTCTGTACCTTATACCCTTAACGTGTAACTGGTTTGACTGAGGCACAAGGGGCCTCTGGTGCCACAGGAATGTGCTCTTCCCAACTCCACACATGCAGACAAGAACTAGAACTTAAAATTTTATTTGAAATTCTGCTTTCCTCACTGGCAAAGGTTGGAGGGTCTCCATTGTTCTAGTCTAGGAACTTCCCTCTCCCCATCAGCCTTTCTGGCTGAGGCCTGAGTGAAGGGCATGTAAATAGAAGGGCTTTGGCAACATCAATACTTGAGAAGGGAACTTGAGAGGGTTTTCAGGACAGTGGCAATTCAACAGTTTAGACTGGGGGATGTCAAATCATAAGAAGCTATAGATTTCAACTCATAGTACATAGGACTCCTGGTGCGTGTACAGTTAAGTTCATATTTGGTGTGTAATTATCTACACCATTTGTTCCTTTTAGGGTTAAGATTGTGGACACAGGTGAGAAACAGGGCAGATGTGAGTCTGCTTTTCCCATCTCCAGCCAGGACTCTAGTGTTCACTATAGTAGGCTAGGTCTATGGCATTGTGAGGATGTTGGGCTGCCCTCCTCTGTTCACCCTGGTTGGAAGCTTTTGCCTTGGCACTGAGCATGCTTTCCTGGTTAGTGCTGCTTTCTCTAGCCTGAGTAGGCTTGTGCCACGTTTTCTGCCATGTTCAGTAAGTTGAAATTAGTTGTGTCAGGAGGGGAAAGCTAAGTATAGGAGAAGGGATGCTCTCATACTTTGCATGTGGTAGTATAGAGTGATGGTGTCAAGACAGTGTGGAAGTTAGGTTTTCATGAGGCTGACTTTCCTCTCATTGAACCAAATTTTTAAAAAAATACAGCGAAGAAGTAGGAAAGAAGATGGGATGGCAAGTTTGACTGGAAGCTTGGCTGTGCTTCTTGTTACTTCCTAGTTTAAGACACAGTTTACTGACTTAGAGGTATCTGAGGTTCCAAATGATGGACTGGTAGAATGTTCTTAGACCTTGAGTGTGCTGGAGGCCCTAAAGTAGGAGATGAACTTATAGCAGAAGCTCACAATGAAGAACCAAATGTTCCGAGCCATCTGAGACCTTGCAATGAGGAGGCGCCAGATGATAAGAAACAGGGCAGTGTTAAAGAGGTAGTGAATGTTCCGGAGCCTGAGGAACAGAAACAAAAGCACAGTTAAGACAGCATCTCCACCCAGCTGTGTTACCTGAAATGTAAATGTGACCAGCAAATACCTAGTTTTTAGAGCTCCTGGCATGACTTGGTCTTCCTTGTTTTTTATGTCTTTTATTTCCTGTCCTTGAATAAATCATGTTTCCCTAGCTTGTTACTCTTCCTCCTATTTCTCTGTTTGGAGCTCTTTTTACAAGCATGATTCATGGAAGAATGTAACATTTTCAAAATATACTCTGATCTTTCAATATTGAAAATCCTCTCTCTGGCCAGTGAGATGGCAGAGTGAATAAATGCATCTTTGGAGCAAGTCTGAAACTTGAGTTGCATCTCATGTAAGGGTCAGATGAGGGAGTTGACTCCACAAAGTTGTCCCCTGACCTCCACATGCACTGTTGCATGCACATTTACACACCATGCACAAACACAGTTTTTAAAAGCCCTCACTCTTATTGGCTGGAGAGGAGTTAGTGAATTTTGCAGCCTGCTTTTCAAGTGTCCTCATTCTCGTCTGGCTATCTTTTCCACCGTTAATCACCTTGACTACAAACCTTAGTTTTTGCAGGAATCATGACCTGAAGTCATTAACTTGTTTGTCAGGGATTTTGACTAAAGGAAGGAGCTGTAAGAATGGAAGAGTAGTTACGTGGTTTTCCAGGTTATGTAGCATGATCTGTCTTTCAGGTATTCCTTAGGTCACACTGTGATAAGGCGTACAAGAAGCAGCAAACTTGGACTTAAGCCTGGCTCCAGTACTCATTTCTGCCAACAACATTCTTGTGCCCTAAGAACCTCGTGTGTTAATGGGTTAACAAAAAGAATACTGCTTCAGGAGTGCAGTGAGGTCTAAATTCAACGTTGTATATTATAGGATAGTTTGGAATGCAGGTTTTCTAATGCTCAAGAAGTGTGACTCCAACCTCAACAGGTACTGCATAAATGTTTTGCGATTTAATTCACACACGCAACCCAGTGTAAAGTCAGTCAACTGCAACAACTCATACACACCAAGGAATCCCTACCTTTTTAGATGTTGCTTTGCTTTGGGGATACCAGCCAGATCCTCTTTTAGTAGATACTTCTTAACTCCCAAAACGTAATTTTCAATGTATTCGAGCCAGTTCAACTGGCGCACGTCAAAGTTGAATACCTGCATAGTGAAAGATGTTACGGGCTTTGTGCTGTTGAGTAGTCACCTTGTTCAGTGTGGGTACCTGGAGCTCATCAGTATGACTAGCTTTGCTGTCCAGTGAGCCTCCAGAACCCACCCGTTTCAGCCTCCCCATCACTGGGTTGCCAAACATGCCCTACCCAGCAGCAGTGAAGGTTTAATCACAATCCACAGACTAGTTCTACTGCACTAAACTTGTTTCCTGTGAGTGCTGACACTGTCTGCTTTCCTTAGGAAAAGGTCATCTGCCTGTATACTCAATACTTCCCCATCAACATTACTGGTCACACAATTGTGAGTTCCCAGAGTGCACCATCCCAGAGGCGCTTGGTGGAGCCAGGGCCGCACTTACTCTCTGATCTTCAGGACTCAGCTCTGACAGAAGCATCTCCGTGTTGTTCGTGCTCCATTCCCAACTGTGGTTGATGAAATATTCCAGCATGGAAATGGTTCTCAGGAGGCGGTTCATGAGCTTCAACATCCTGAGGGAGAGACCACAAAGCTGGTGCAGTGCATCCTGCCCACTACCTCGTCCTCCACCGCAAGGGTGGCCCAGGATCATTAAGAAAGTGCAAGCCCTGGTGGGCTCACACAGTAACACCAGCACTCGGGAGGCTGAGGCAGGAAGACGTGAGATCAAGATCAGCCTGGACTACCTACTGAGACCTAGTAAAAGTCTTTCCTCGGTTTGTGGGTCACCTCCTTTGGCACAACAATAACAGTTTCCACTATCAAGCTTTTCTTTAATCTTTTGTACAAAAGTACCTTATCCCTTCATGTGAGTGCATCCTAGCAATCAGTCTAACAAATTGCTCATCCTCTCTAAAGTCTACTTGTACTAAAAGAGTTTATGCATGCCTATGAGTTAGACTTGCCATTTCTCCTCCCCACTTTCCATCTAATTCTGTTAATAAAGGAAAGAAACTGAATCTAACAGTGTCTGTCAGACCTTTTACAACCTCTTCTCCCAGACACCCATCCCCTTTCTCATCAGACGTTGCAAAACTGAGCAAGTTAGTTGCCTAAAAGGATTGCAGTTTTGTTTTGTCTTAACATTGAGGCAGATCTTTAGAAAGCTAATTTCTTTTTAATTACATGTTCTTAAATTTGTAAAAAAACAGCACCCCAGATCTTAGTATATAAACTTTTGGCAGAGTGTTGAAGCAAAAGCTAGCTGTAATTGATACTTATGAAGACAGACTTAATGTTAATAATCTACTCTGTTGGACACAGTGTTGGCATTTGTAGAAATACTGTCTTAGCTGATTTTTCATAACAACCTCTGCTCATATTTTTCAGAATATGGTTCATAAACTTTAAGTGGATTAGCATTTAAACTCCCATGTAGTTCTTACAACCCAGAGGAACCTCTGCTGTTGTAATCCCACTGCCCTGTGTCCATTTCTTCTGAGGGACTTTGTTTTCTAGCTCCATACTCAGAATATGAAACAGCTCACCTCTAGAAACCTCCCAGAATTGATGGATTTATTCACATTAACTTTACACAAAGGCTATTTTTTTTAATTATGAAGCTGTTGGCCTTGCTTGTTTCTTACTGGCTAGCTCTGACTTAAGTAATTACCCCATAATTGTTAATCTAAGTATGCCTCTTACCGGAGAGGTTTCCGGGCTTCCTACCCCAATGGTGTTACATCTCGACTCTCTTGTGTTTCTCCTTCCCAGAGTTCTCCTGGACTCCTAGTCCCTCCCATCTAGATTCCCTATAGGCTAGACAGTGCTTTATTGACATAAGACTTCCCCAACATCTCCTCTTTTCTGTTTAAACAAAAAGAAAGGTCTTAACTTTAACATAGTCAAATTGTATATAACAGAACAGTTATCAAGTAAGAACATAGTTACAATATTTTAGCAAGATTTAAAGAAAATATCTATCTCATTCTTGTGAGTCCAAAGTTCTGTATGTAGCTTATCTCTTATCATAACTAAGGAAAACTAATATTTAATATGCGTTGCATGTCTAATGAATATATATACATTTAAATCCAGTTTCAGGGCTTAGAGCAAAGGCTCAGCAGTTAAGAGCATTTGCTGTCTCAAAACCCCTATCTGGCAGCTCAAAACTGCATTTGATTCTACCTCTGTGGACGTGATGTCCTCTTTTGCTCTCCACAATACTCACACCAACTTGCATGTGCACATGTACCACCTCACCACTTCAGACTCACTCAAATTAAGTTTAAAAAATAGTACAGATACAATGGTACACATCTTTAGTCCCAGAGAAAACGGAGGCAGAGGTGGGTGCCTTCCCAAGTTTCTTTTCTAAGTGAGTCAAGAACAAATACATCAAATACCCCTAGACCTTGCTTCTGGCCCTCATTCACCCCTATAGGAAGAAGAAGATTGTTTGGGCTCATGTCCATACTATTTCACTCCTTTCTGTAACACACTGATATTTTTCTAACAATGGAACAAATTCAAAAAAGACCAGCACTTTCCATGTGGAATCCACCAAGTACCACTTGGCAGCTGAATACCACTGTCACAAAGCTATTGTTGGTTGGTTTGTATTTTCATAGAAATTAGTCTTACAAACTAAACATCCTTGCTTTGTGGCTTTGGAGTAATATTAACAAAAACCCATGTTTTAGTAAAGTTAGCAGTGGGAAACAATTGTAACATTTTCATATAAAATTCGTTTTTCTGGGCTGGAGAGATGACTCACCTGCTGTGGAATAATCCTTCTGTATACTGTGAACAATGCATTACTCTTACTGGTTAATAAAGTATCTGACTAGCCAATAGCTGAACAGGACAAAGTAAGGTGGGATAGCCAAACTGAAAATGCTGGAAAAGAAGAGGGCTGGAGTCTGGAGTTGCCAGCAGATGCAGAGAGAAGCAAAATGGACATGCTGTACTGAAAAAAGTTACCAAGCCACATGGCAAAGCATAAATAAGAAATAAGGGTTAACAAAAATTTAAGAGTTAGCTAGTAACAAGTCTGAGCTATTGGCTGAGCATTTACAATTGATATTAACTTTTTGAGTGGTTATTGGAAAACAGCTGCCAGCACAGAAAAACCCCACGTTCTCTCACCAGATAAAATCTCCTGCTATACAATCCTGATACCTTGAATTCAATCTCTGTAATTTACAATTAAAGATACTGAGAGAGGGATAATCTGTCTTCTACAGAGATGAGCCCTTAATTTTTTGTTCAACAAGTGGTCAGTAAAAAAAAAGATTATTTCCCAGACTCCCTAACCCAACTACATGGTGTAGACACACAGATGACCTAATGCTGCTCTCCAACACAGATCTACTAAAACCTGCTTGCCCTCAGCTGCTTGTGTCAGGTCCATCTTTCAGACTTCATACATCCTGTGTTATGGTCTAGCTTTTGAATCCACCTGACCCAACCCTAACTCTGTCCTCCCCAATTCCCATATCTACACCTGGCCCTACAGGCACAGCCCAACCCACACTTGTAAACCTAATCTGAACCTCACAAAGGCTATTTTCAAGGTCACACAAAAAATGCTCTGAGCTTAAAGTGCTTAAACCCAGCTAGGTATTAGGGTATAGTCAATTCTCTAAGGACTCTGATGCTCTAGGAATTTGATCTTATTTTTGGTTCAAGTTCCCACCAACAGTGGAGAGACTCTACTGTATCATGGGAAATTGACTTTTTAAGGAAGTAGATTTAAATGTTCTATGAACGGTAATTGTATATCACTGTCCAAGGAGTATTTGAACTAAGGTAATTTTTAGAACAACAACAACAAAATGTTACTCTTTGGTAGAGGCCTTTTTAGAACTTAAAAGACAAATACAAAACCTGTAAAGAAAAGTTAGGACTTAGTCACCATCGTGATTGTTTTATTCTGTGCACTTTCATACCAAATAGATCATGGTTAGAACCCCCTTTTTATAGAAGAGGAAATTAGGATTTTGAAAGAAAGTAAATGTATGCTCCATGGCTAAATTAATGAAGCCAATATTTTAGTCATGGCTCCAGACTTGACAGTGTCAGATTCTACAGTGACTGGTTCTATAAAAGGCTGTGAAGATTATTGTGAGGCCCGTGATAGATGGCCAGATGGATAAAGATGCTTGCTGCCAAGCGTAACAATCTGGGTTCAATCCCTAGAACAACCATGGTAGAGAGAACCAACCTCCTTTCAAGGTGCCTTCTGCTGCTCCTGTGCAGTGGTAGTATACACACAGTAAGTAAATGTATCACAAAACAACACAACTCATTGTCCAATCCAGTGTGGTTTAGTTTCTCCCAAACAAAATGCACATTGACTTTTTTGTCCAGTGTTTTTCTTTTACTTACCAAACCTTGCTTTATCCAAGTGTTCCTAACCCTTCAACCTGACCCATTTTGATAGACTTCAAATTTCTGCCTGTGTTTTCCTTCTTGTCCCATCTGTATTGGGTAAGACTCAGATGTTTTCCACACAGTCACAGTGCTTCCTTATGTGGGTGAAAGAAGCTAGGTGAGTCACATGGCCTCTGGGTTGCAATTATCTTTTTTGTCAGTCCAGAGAATGTTTCACGTGCCAGAAAGGCCTTCCACCTCAGAAGGGGCTACTAAGAGACCAGTCCTGTTCCTGTTCAGATTGTGATCTCAGGAGTCTTTTCCTGTTGAGTGTGTCATGGAGGTAGCCAGAGATGTACTTTTGTCACTGCTGGGTGGTGCCAGAGCTGGCTTAGCTTTGGCACCTCACCTCTTGTTTATTTTTTCATCTCTCTAGGTGTCAGTAAACCTAGTTTGTAATAGTGACTGTGAGGTGGCTTTCTGCGCCTCCTTGCCGTTATTAGGCAGGTTCTGCCCTTCACTTATCTTTCGATGGTGGAGTTGTTGTGAGGTGTGAAGATGAAAATGGAATCATCATGAGACCTTGCAACAGGATGGCCGCACAGCAAGCCCTCAGTGAGTGAAGCTGCTGCTGTTAGTGTCGTTCGTTCGTGTGTGTGTGTGTGTGTGTGTGTGTGTGTGTGTGTGTGTGTGAGAGAGAGAGAGAGAGAGAGAGAGAGAGAGAGAGAGAGAGAGAGGGAGAGAGAGAGGGAGAGAGAGAGGGAGAGAGAGAGGGAGAGAGAGAGGGAGGGAGAGGTCTGGCCCATCCTCAGCTGTAGGGAGGACTAAAGACTTTGGGTTCCATGCAGTGACACTACTAAAACCATTGTCCCAACTTCTCACCTGGGTTTCCTTCCAGTGAGCCTCAGATAGAAGTCGTAAATGATGGCTGGGGCCCGGTGGCTGACAGCATTCCAATACTGGGTGGTGAAGTTGTTGGTGGTAAAGTCAGCATTTGGCCTTCTGAAAGCACTCTCGAATGGGATCTTTTCTATGGTCGCTAAGACTTGTAATCCTGGAACAAAAAGAGGAAGTGCTAAATCTTGGAGAATGTTAAGTTTGTTTAGGTGCAAGCTGTCTGCCCCTCAGAATGACAGACAGTGTTTGCTGTATAAAATCAAGAATCTGTTTGTAAGAACATGAAGATTTTATGCCTGGCAAGTGAACATCTGCACAGTTAAGCAATATGACTGTATTTAGAAAGGATTCTTTTTGGTGGGATGGGAGGTTGAGACAGGGACTCACTATTGTAGCTCTTGCTCTCCTGAAACTCATTATGTAAACTAGGCCAGCCTTGAACTCACAGAGATCCATCTGTCTCTACCTCACAAGTATTGGCATTAAAGGTGTGTACCACCATACCTGGCCTTTTCTTAAAACATTTACTCTCAAATTCTTGGGGAATTTTCTTATTCAATATAATGACAGGCTATTCAGAAGAGTGTTGGATTCCAGGTTCCGAAGTCCACTTTGAAAGGCCAGAGGCTAGGAGGGTCGGGTCCCTTGCAGGTTAAATGTTCTTAACAAAGGCTTGCATAAAGTATAAAGATGGATTTCTTTGTGGAGTTCACTTTAGTACCACAGCTTCTTTTGCTTTGATATTCTTTCTTTTCTATATGTGTATTTGATTTAGTTTTTTACTAATAGAATATTTATAATTGCCTTTTCATTTTCATATTTTTAGATTAGCTTAGTTCACATTTTTAATATGTATAGATTCAATAGTTCTTTTTAGAGCATTCATTTAAATTCAATTTTGACATAATTGGATGTTTTCAGACAATGCAGTTCATTATTCAATTGATGAAGTTATCAGTTATTGGGGTAATTTGATTATTGCCTTTTTGAAAATGTATCACCAAGAAATGGACATGTAAAACGTAGATGTTTGCCGGCCGTTGGTGGCGCATGCCTTTAATCCCAGCACTTGGGAGGCAGAGGCAGGCGGATCTCTGTGAGTTCGAGGCCAGCCTGGTCTACAGAGTGAGTTCCAGGACAGCTTCCAAAACAATACAGAGATCGTCTCTAGGGGATTTTCTTGGTTGTTAATTGATACAGGAGGGCCCACTGTGAGCAGCACCATCCCTGGTGAGGTAGTTTGAATAAGAATGGCCCCCATAGGTTCATATTTGAATTCTTAGTCATTAGGGAGTGGTACTACTTGAGAAGGAATAGGAGGTAGGGCTTTGTAGAAGTAGACAGAGCTTTGTTGGAGGAAATGTGTCACAGGGTTGGGGGTGGCTTTTTGAGGTTTCAAAAGCCCAAGATAGGTTCAGTGCCTCTCTTCCTGCTGTCTGTGGATCTGGATGTAGAATTCTCAAGCTACTTTTCCTGTTTGCATGCCTCTATGCTTCCCACCATGATGATAATGGACTAAACCTCTGAAATTTTAAACAAGTTCCAATTAAATACTTCGTTGCTGTGATTACGGTGCCTCTTCACAGCAATAGAACAGTGACTAAGATACCTGAGCAGGTGGTTCTGGACTGTATAAGAAAGTTGAGCACAGCCTGTACTGATGAGCAAGCATCATTCCTCCATGGTTTCTGTTGTGCTTTCATTGACTGTGAGTCAGTTCCTTTGTCAGAAGTAATTCTTTGTAGATTAACAAGCAAGCTTGTCTTCAAGTTTCTGTTTGAGTTCCTGCCCTGCCTTGTATCAGTGATGGACTGTATGATGTGGATTGTAAGCAAAATAAACCCTTCCTTCCTCTAAGTTGATTTTGGTCAATATGTTTATCAAGGCAACATAAATGAAATCACAGCATGGAACTTAGAGGCATCTACACTTGAAAAAGAAAGAGTCAAGCAGGAGATTCTGATTTTAGTACTGACCTTCTCATCTATGCATCTGCATGTTTGCTCCATGTTTTCATTTGGGTATTAATAAACACTCGTATTTAACAGCTCTAAAACTGACCTCTTATATTTCCACTACTAGCTGCCCTTTCCTGACACATTTCACACTTTCTATCTCTAAATGACTATTTTATTTTTCAGTAAGCCAGCCAGAACCTTTGGAGGCATCATGATCCTCCTCTTTGTTCACCAATTCTCACAGCAATACAAACCAGAATAACTGGCCTCCCCCTTGCAAAGAATCCAGCATCACCATTTGCATTGTTGCCCTGGGCGAGAGCTGTCCCTGTTTCTTGGAATATTGGGAGTTGCCACCCCTGGACTCTGCTGAAGGTCTTGTCCCCCAGTAGTCTGCTCTCCATAAACAGCAAAACGTTACTCATAATTTACTTTTTATAGAATCATTTAATGGACCCTCATAGTTGGAGGAAAGTCAAACACTTAGTCCAGTTGGTAAGCCCTTGTAACATCTGTATCTTCTCATACAGAGAAAAATGCTCAACGTAGATAAGGCCTTGCAGGACCTGCCTGCATCCTCACTCCCATGCTCATCCTTCTGGGCTCATCTACTACCATTTCCCTTCCTGTCCTTGAAAATGAATAATGAGCCTTTTTACTGGTGGTTCCTTCAGCCTACAAGACTTCCTTCAGCTGTCTTCTGACAACCCACCACTTCCCTCAGGTCTCCTTGGCCTTCACATAAGAAAGCATCCTTCTTACCCCCACTCTATTTTTCTTCAAGCACTTAATAATGTCTGATACATAATTTTGCTTTTGTGCCTACTTAGATATTAAGAAGTGGCTGTCAGGCAGTTGGGGCTCAGGGGATACTATTGGACTGAGTGAATGGATATTTCAGTAATGCATAGTAACTTTCTATTTCTTGTCTGTCTTGGCTCATTAATTTTTTTCATGGTGACCTCATATCACCAAAACAGACTTTTTAGAGCATTTCAGATTTTCAGACTAAGAGACAGTTAACCTGTGATAGTTTAGCTAGGTATAAGATTAATATAATAGTCATTTTCATGTCTTCCCAGTATCCACTGGAAAATGTATTCTTTATAAAGATACCATTAATTATTAACAAAATGTATATATTTCCTTGATCCTAAGTATAAATCTGATAAAAATGCTTAAGAACTATATAGAAAGAATTTAATTTTTTTTCTTGAAGGGCATTAACAGAGGTACCTAAATGGAGAGAAGTTGTATGTTCACCCACCCGTCTATCAATTATTCTCCGTTATTACTTGAAACTACAAATGTTCAGCCTATGGTGACATTGCTAATGGTTCCAGTTAGAAGCATTTGGATCACCTCTAATACTCCTATCATAAAGCATAAATGCATTTCAAACTGAACAAACTTGAATTAGTGGGTAATGGCATCCTTGTTCTGTATTAGGCTTCTTGTGTAGAAGGTTGGCACTGGATACAAGACGTGACCAGCTAAGCATATCTGCTGTGGTGTGAGGGGCTGAGAAGCATATATGTCAAGTGTTTTTCTTTCCTAAAAAGGCATTCTTCACGTTACAGCCTATCATACAGCAAGCTACAGAGGTTCAGCTGCTGTGCCGCACTGTTCCCCAGATAACACTGGAACATGTAGAGAGAATTACTGTGTAACACAGAGAGGGAAGGTGTGTCACTGGGAAACCATATAAGATAGCCAGACTGCCTTCCTTACCCTTCTGTCATCATTAGGTATTTAAATTCATTTCCATGGGTCTTGGGCATTGAATAGATAGATCTAGTCCCTCATGTGTAAACATCATGTGTTGGTTTGATTAAGAATGGCCCCCATAGGCTCATGTATTTGAATGCTAAGTTGCCAGGGAAAGGTACTATTTGAAAGCATTGGGAGATGTAGTATAATTGGAGTGGGTCTGACCTTGTAGTAAGTGTGTCACTGTGGGTGAGCTTTGAGGTTTCAAAAACCCATGGCAGGCTCAGGCTCTCTCTCTGTGTCTCTCTTGTCTCTGTCTCCCTCTCCCTCTCTTCTGCTCCTCTCCTCTCTCCCTCTCTTTCCCTCCCCACCCCTCCTTTCTGCCTGTGGGTCAGGATGTAGCTCTCTGCTACTTCTCTGGCAGTGCCTGCCGCCATGTTCCTATGGTGATAATGGACTAAGCCTCTGAAACTAAGCCAGCTGCCAGTTAAATGCTTTCTTTTATAAGAATTGCCTCGGTCATGTTGTCATGAAAATAAAACAGTGACTGAAACAGAAGTTGCTACCAAGGACTCCATTATTGCTTTGACAAGCCTGACAAGTGTGTTGGAGAAATACAGAAGTCTTTTGGACTTTGGACTAGAAAAGTGGTTGGACACTTTAAGTGTGGCTTAATGGGGCCATCCTAGTGGAAGCATGGAAGACAGTGCTGAGGGTGATTTGAACTGTTTGGACTCAGATCAAGAAGTTTCAGAGGGAAAGAAATTACTAGATAGCCTAGAGACCATTCTAGAGATATTTTGGTAAAGAATGTGACTGCTGCCTTCCCTTGTCCTACAAGTTTGCCAGAAACTAAATTGAGTTTTGGATCAATGGCATTGGCAGGGGCAATTTCAAGACAGCCTAGTATTGACTGTGTCACATAGTTATTAGTGTTCATTTAGTAGTCATTGGTATGCATGTCTACAGTGAAAACCTAGTATTGTCACGTAGCTATTAGTGGTCACTCTTATGCAGATCTACAATGGAAAGGAGCAGGTGGAGCAACGAGGTACATTAAATGTACAGTTTGAGCAGAAAAGGATCACCAAGAAATGTAATGGAGCTAAGTCCATTGTTCAAGGAGATGAAAGACTTAAAAAAAAAAAGCCTGATGTTAAATGGAATAAAGGGAGTAGTGACCTCAGGGCAAGACCCCACCCAACTAAGCTTACAACTTGTGAAAAGGAATGAAAAGCTTAAGCAAGCATTGAAGGAAACCATGGAAAACAGAAAGCTGACGCAAAATAAATTGAATGAGGGGGGGCTTTGTCCTAGTCTCAGCAAGTAGCAGAAGCTGGCAGCCTCAGCCACATGGTTCTGGCTGTAGAGTGAGGAATACAAGAAAGAGGTTGTAGAATCTGCTCTGTGTCTAAGGAAAGCCACTGAGCTAAACCTGTGTCAGAGAGGCCTGTTCATATTCAGGCGTCTACACTGGCCTGCCCTTGGAGTTCTGACAGGATACGCCCTGCAGCCCTCAGCTGCAGCCACCAAGAGCACCACCTGAGCACATTTACTGTGCTCCCTTTTAAAAGGGCCCTGCCTACATCCTATCTTTCTCTCCCTCTTCCTCCTCCCTCCTCCCTCTCCCCTCTCTCTTATCCCTCCTCCTCTCTCTCACACTGCTCTTGTCCCCAGAGGTTAGTTTCCCCCTCCCCCCTTTCCTTTTTATGACCCCTTCCCTCTTAATAAAAATCCCTTCTGCTTGAACTCTGTCGCATGACATCTTTCTCTCTTGAACCCCATTTTTAAAAAAACAATTGCAACATGCCGCTGCATAGAGGACTGGAGAGGCCATTGTGTGAAGCTGTGAAGGTGAAGCCAGGATTGTGGCAGAGACAAGACTTGGTCATGGTGTCTGTCCACAGCAATAGGACAGTGACTGAGACACAGCCAATGCAGTCAGTGTAGAGGAGGTTTCTTAAAGCAGGGACCATTAAGTTGATAATCACATAGAAGCTTCCTTGGCATTGCCTAAGGTTTTTGATCAAGGACTCTGGCTTTGTTTTTGTTTTCAACAGTGACATATATTTTCTTTTATAAATTACTAGTGGAAAGGTTACTCACATAGAAGAGAGCCAGAGACCTGGCTTTTATTTTTACTTTTATTTCAGGGACAAACTAGCTTTCTTTATGAATCCAAGAAGCTCATTTACTTTCTGTACCTCACGTAAGTTGAGCACCCTAGATTGTTTTTAAGGCCCTTTTAACTGTAATCATCTCTAATTCCATAAAATGAGAGTTTTCAGGGGGAAAGATAATTCTTAAAAAAAACTACATCCTCAGAACTCTTTTAAAAAGATCTTATTTTCATCATGAGTATGTATGTGTATCTGTGTGTAGGTGTGTACATTTGTGTATATGTGCTTGTTTCCAATCATGAGTATGTATGTCTGTGTGTAGGCATGTGCATTTGTGTATATGTGCTCGTTTTCAATCATGAGTATGTATGTCTGTGTGTACGCATGTGCATTTGTGTATATGAGCTCGTTTTTCATGAGTATATATATATGTGTGTGTTTGTGTCTGTGTAGGTGTGTACATTTGTGTATATGAGCTCGTTTTTCATGAGTATATATATATGTGTGTGCTTGTGTGTGTGTGTAGGTGTGTACATTTGTGTGTATGAGCTCGCAGAGGCCAGAAGAGGCCAGATCCTCTGGAGCTGAAGTTAGAGGCGGTTGTGAGCCAGCTGATGTGGGTGCTGGCAGCCACACTGAATCTTCTCCACGAGTATTACATGTTCTTAACTGTGGGCCATCTCTCCTGCCCTGAGCTTATAACATCTTATGTTAACATCTTATGTTAATATCAATTCATATGGGGGGAATTTTAGATATCTCCCATTACTGATACAAAAACAGATTTCTTACTATTTTGAAATCAATCCTAATTTAGATGTGTGATCTAAATAACTGGGTTTATGATGAAAAGAACTCGGTCACAGATAATTCTATGTTTGCAACTTTGCAAGTACAAATAACACGGTGTGTGTGCTCTGAGTGGGAATCAGACTAGTGCAACAGTTAGAGGGTCTAAAATCTCAGACTTCAACAAGAAAAACAACTCCTACATCAACAAAGGAATGCACCATTTGTTGATTGGTTAGGCAGATCCCTAGATACACAAGATCTGTTACCAACAAAACACTTAGCATCATAGCTACTGCACAGTTGGGGCAGGGCGTGGCCAGGCAGCTGAACAAATGAATGAGCAATACCACTGCCCCATCACAGGCAGACTGTTGTGTGTGACCTTTCCGAAATGGCCAATGTGAGGGGGAGGGGTGACTGGGGGTTGCTGATTGCCACCAACGTTGTTTATCTTTGCCAACTTTTGCTTGGTTTCATAATTGTTTTTAAAAGCTCCCGTAAGACTTCTGTATAATCATGCATGTGTTCCCACAGCCCACTTTTCTTTTACCTGTACATTCTAGTTGACTACATCACACTTACAATCTGCAGAGATTTTTTTTCTCTCTTTATCGTTGGTTTTGTTCTGGCTTCCTCCCCTACTGTGTTCCTGGCCGTAAGACATACTGTTTTTCCCAGGTAGTTATGTACTTACATAGTTAAAGGCACTCACCCATTTTATGCCAGTTACAGGGATTGAGATTACCAGATGTAGAATGGTAGATTAATGTTGATTTAGGTCTGGAAGATAAGATAAAAGTTAAATAAATAAAACCAAATTGGTAACTAATAGAAAATAAGGAAAACAACACCGAGGCAAGTATCAAAGTTCCTGTGACTACTGCAGTCTGCACAGCACTTTCAGATTCTCTGTTCTTTCTTTGGGTTGATAGGAAAAATGAAAAAGTAAAAGTGCACACACCCATATATCAAATAGGAGTGACCTGTGGAACATGCATGCCTGAGTATCTATATATCAAATAGGAGTGACCTGTGGAAAATGCATGCCTGAGTTCACATGAGAAAATTTCCCATTGTCCTTGTAATTTACCGACAGAACAGCATTCACACGGGCACCCTAACCTTTTCATGTGTCAGCAAACTTGTGTCTTATCTCTTTGGCACTTAACAGCAACCAAACAAGTTCAGCAAAAATATAAACTGTGCTGCCATTTCGTCAACTAGTTTACTACTTATTTTAAGATAATAGAAAGAAAAGCCTTTTGGTTATTCAAAAATTCTATGGTTAAGTGGTTTGAAAGCATATTATTTTATGACCCACCAAATATTAATAAGTATCCTCACACCTTCACCTATATTGGGAATTCTGAGACTGAAAGCGTGACCGCCCATCTCACCTCAGAAGCCTGTGTAAGCACGCTTACCTGTGAACTGCAGTGTACCACCCTACTGCGATGGTGAGGTTGACAACGGTGTCGACTGGGATCACGTCTGCCACTGCCATAGGAGTAGCTTTTATGGACCGAAGAAATCCTTTCCCCGTCTGCACAGGAGAGATGGAGCATAAAATGTAAACGAGGTATGAAGTCACAGCCAGGGCTAGCTAGCCACTTGGTGTGGGGGTTGGACACCAAGCACTTTTTTTTTTTTACTATAAGATTTCATATGGTATGTGTGTGTGTGTGTGTGTGTGTGTATGTGTGTGTGTGTGTATGTGTGTGTGTATGTGTGTGTGTGTGTGTGTATGTGTGTGTGTGTCTAAACTAGCTATCATCTCTGCCTACTAAAAATACAATGTGGAGTGGGAATTCCATTCAGTATGCTGGTGTGCACCGTAATACAACTGATTCCCGCCCATGTTAAAATGCTTCTAAACTGTCACGGGGAAAGGAATGAAAGCAGTCAGGGAACAGAAAGAGCCTGGCTAGAAAAACAGAGTGCATGCACACAAGCTTGTATGTTTTACTACCAAGCGTTCCATAATCTTGGGGATAAGATTTTTTTTTTGAGACACAGTGTCGGATCCTTCTGCCTCTCTGAGGTCTGGGATTACAGGTGTGAGCTGACACACTGACACACACACACACACACACACACACACACACACAGTTTATAAAGTGCTGGGGATCAAACAGGGTTTTAAGTATACTAGACCAAACACTACCAGCTGAGCTACATCTCTGGCCCTTGAGGCTAATATTTTTCCTGTACACCTGATTGCATTGGTACAAGCCACTAATAAAGCAATGAAAAGAAAATACCTCCACCTTGTGGTAACCAAAGGAAAATTTTTGGTGTGCAAACATTTCCCAAGTAAACACCCACAGCTGAACACTGAACTGAACTCCTGGAATCCAGTGACAGGGAGAACTGATGAGCAAAGGAGTTAAGACTAGGCTGGTTTAACCCAGAGAAACAGTTGACCTGAACAAGGGGGAGCTCTTGGACCCCAGATTGATGGCTGTATGGACAGCATGGGACTGACCCAGACCCCCTGAATGTGGATGTCAGTGAGGAGGCCTAGGTAATCTATGGGGCCTTGGGTAGTATTTATCCCTAGCGTACAAGTAGACTTTGAGTGCCCATCCCACAATGATGGATGCTCTCTCAGCCTGGACTCATGTGGGAGGGCCTAGGCCCTGCCCTGGATAAAATGGCAGACTGGAGATCTACCATGGAGGGCCTCACCCTCCCTGGAGATCAGAGTGGAGATTGGGTGGGGGACTGGGGGGCCTGGTGGGGAGGGCGGGGAAGGAGGGGAGGGAGAGGGAGCTGGGATTGATATGTGAAGCACGTTTGTTTCTAACTTAAATAAAAAAAAGGAAGAGAGGGAAAAAACCTTTGGAAGAGCAACTGAGCATGTCAGTCACCTGTCTTGATGATAAAAGCAACTTGCTGTTGCTTTCGTCTTCCCTTTAGTATCTCTAGATAAGCTACTTCCTTTATCACCACACAAAGTGGACACCAAGGCCTCTGCCACATTCTCCATTTCAAGGGGTTCCTTTCTCATCTTTGTACATACCGCAATAATGAGTCCGCTGGGTCCGTTTAAATTGTCAACCCAACCCTGGAAAGAGAGATCTCTGTTGGTTACACATTTCAGAAAAGTGTTACCCTTGGACAGCCCAATCTGTGTGTGTGTGTGTGTGTGTGTGTGTGTGTCCATCCATACCTTCACCCATTTATAATACTAACCAATTGGTCATAAAGAATGTAGGAAGAGAAGGGAGAAGGTAAGGAAGTAAAAGGAGGAAGTGGAGAAGGACGGTCAGAAAGAAGCTGGTTTTTAAGACGCCTAGACTGAAGCAAAGCAGGGAAAGTGTGCTCACTGGGAAAGGTTCCTGCCAGGTCGCTCCCACTATGGATGGCCTGACGATGGCCACATTCAGGTTTCTACTTTCTTGCTGTACCACTACCTCTCCCAAGGCTTTGGTGTAGGTGTAGGTATTGGGCCGGTCCCCAATCAGCTTGGGAGTGATCTCATCAATGATAGAGTCATCTAACCACCTGAAAGCAAAGGGGGAAAATTGTAGCATCATCCACAAGCACAATAGAACAACAAGAAAACAAATAGCCGATCAAACACAACTTCTACCTCCTGGCTTGGATCTGGAGACCACTGTCCCAGGGTCACAAGGGCAAGTGTGCATGCTCAAATCATTCCTCTCCTTATAGCTTAGTCTGCTCTGCCCCCACCCCCAGATACTTGGTTATTCCCACAGATACGTAATTCGATGCATCACACGTAACCCCTCTCTTTACTTCTACAGTCACGTTAGTGTGTGCCCTGAGCATGCGTGTGAGTGCCCAAGCCATGTCCAAGAGCAAGGGAGGACTGTGCTCCTCAGCTCAGGGGCTCCTCCTCCAGGCTGCTTCATTCAGGATACTCCAGTGACGCTGTCTTGTACAAATCTCAAACCTGCTGTTTTCAATTTTTAAAATTTCACTGTCTGCATAAAGCAGCTACATTTGGCAGACAGACATCACCCTAACATATTCTTCAGGTTTGTTTAGAGTCTGAGGTAACAACTCAAGTGACTGTTGAGGGCTCTCCAGTGCTCCGGGTGGGGAGTGGGTCCAGAGCCCTGAGGAAGCTCCCATAGCACAGCTACTGAATAGACCCACTTCGGGAATGACAGGCATCACCAGAGCATCGGCCTAATTAAAACCATGCCAGAACTGTTGCAATAATCCCGTGTTTATGGACACTTCCCTAAGAGCACCGTTATCGCCACTAATGTATTTATTGCTTCTCTTAGGTAGGGCTATTTGGTTAAATCGTTGATATATTCAGACAGCCTAAAAATTTTTAAATGACATCCATGTAGTTATCTATAAAATAATCAAAGGTTGTGTTTTTCTTGGGTGTGTGAAGGCGGGGAGTGTGTATTTGCCACAGCTGACAACTTGTAGGAGTCTGTTCTCTACTTCCACCATGCGAATCCTGGGGATTAAACTCAGGTCGTTAGGCTTGGTGGGGAGTGCTTTTATCCACGGAGTCATCTTGCCAGTCATGTTCATTCAATCCCTAAACTAACATGTTAGTACATTTGTTCTTATTTTATAGGAGAAAGCATAGCTGTACTATTTTGATTGTAGAAAACATTAGCAGTTATCCCTCCACTCCTATGACAAATTGTTAAACACTGTGTCTGATGCCAAGATCTATTCAGTCATAATGCCGTATCCTAATCACACTCATTTTACAGTAGGGTAGAATACAAAGACTGGCCATAATTGTCCCATTTCCCTTCCTTTGCTTCTATTAGTACTGAATATAACCTGGATACACGAATACCCTTGGGTTGAATGGGGAAAAGTAGAGAAATTCCTAAAATTAAAACAACTCCAAACACAGAGTAATAGATGATATTAAATTATGTAAGGACAGGACTGGTGTGATGTCCCAGTGTATAAAGTATTTGCTAGGCAAGTGTTGAGTAGTAGAGTTTGGATCTCAAGAACCTACATATGCCATTCTGGTGGCCTGTCTGCAATACTAGCACTGGAGAGGCAGAGTCAGGCTCTCTGGAACAAGCTGTCCAGCTACACTAACCGTATCAGCAAGCTCCAAGTCAGCCAAGAGACTCCACCTTGGTGTATACTGTGGAAGTGACTGAGAAAAGGTAGATACTTGACATCAACTTTGAGCCTCCATGCACACCCTCGTGTGTACATACATCTGTGTACTTACACATGTAAATGTGCATACATGCACGCCATACACACACACACACGTCAAAAAGAATTAAGTGACCACATGGGAATGGGAAGAATGATAGATATGGCAGAACCACACACACACACATACACACACTTGATTCCCCTTGTTATCCAAGGGGAATTGGTTTGGATATAACCTATGCATATCCTCTTGTGTACTTTAAACCATCTAAATTACCTATAACACCGAGCATATTGTAAATGCAGTATAAGTGTTTATTGTTTATGCAGTGTAGCTGGAAGCTTTTCTGTCTTTCCTGGTCCTGCAGTTGCATATAAAATAATAATTCAGAGGCTTAATATTAATTATAATCATCTGGCTGATGGCTTATGCTTTCTATGGATGAGATCTTACATTTAAATCAACCCATTTCTATTAGTTTATATTTTACCACTAGGCTCATTGCTTGCTACCTCACACCCTGCTTCTCTGGCAGCTGCTCTTCTCTCTCAACCCCACCTTCTTTCTCCCTGCATTCAGTTTGGCATTCCCCGCCTAACTATACCCTGCCCTGTCATAGGCCCAAGCAGCTTTATTCATCAACCAATGAAAGCAACACACATTCACAGCACACAGTAGGACATCCCACATCAATGCAGCAACGACAAAACGCCAGTAAAGGCTCAGTATGGATACAAGTATTCGGATTAGCATTGGTTGGTTGAATGTAAAAATGGAAAGCCACAGATACAGAGGACAGTGTCACTTCATCTCATTTGTACGTAAGTAGTGAACTGAGACCATTTTATATGCCAATACAGATTACAGAAACCGAGTTTAATGTCAACAGGGCTGCAAGGAAAAACAATTTTAAGAGAACGTGAGGACCACGGGGAGTCAATGTTACAGCACAAGGAACAGCCATTCATTGCAAAGGGGTATAGCTGAGGGCTCTGCACAGTGGGGGAAAGTTAGCTTCTCTTAGAGAATATTGACTACATAGATTCCTAGGGATGCGGGTGTGAGAGATTACTGCATTTGCAGAAGGCTTGCCCCCACTACTCAGTTCCACCTGTGGACCCCTGAATTCTGTTCTTGCTTCCCAGTTTTACTCAGGAAGCATGCTGGTTATATCTGCTCTAATTCTTGGATTATCATGAGGACAGGCATGGATATATACACCTACAAATGAACTAATGAAACAGAACTCTCTCTTCCTTCTTTCCCACCCCTCCACCCCTCCCTCTCTCATTCTCAGTGCTAGGAATTGAACCCAAGGGTTAACACATACTCCATTCCCAGGCCAGTGGTGTCATTCTGTTTTAATAAAGCAAGCCCATCGTTGATTTTAAAGTAACTTTTCTCCTACTGCCCCTCTGACCATTTTCTGTCCCATCTAGTCCCTTCCTGGATTCTGAGGGGAATGTGACAAATGCCCATCTACTGCTGCCTGGGGTCCTCTCCTGTGCTCAGTGACCACTTTCTGCTATTCTTGTTCTGCAAAACTGTAAATCAGCTTGGAAAAAAGACTGCAACAATCAACATACATTTCTGAAATCAACTAACTGTCCTATAGTGTATTCAAGGGCATGTTTTGAACCTCCAAGTCTCCAGCTCCCAAATTTGACTTCGCTTTGTCTCCACGTCCAATTTTAAAATTCTGCTTAACCTGCTTCAAAAGAAGCATAAAGTCATTGAAGATCTTAGCAGTAGGAATATGTCTGATGCAGTTACACACAGCACAGGCTCCTTCTTCTAACTTAACTATCCTTTAATATGGTATTAATAGCTTTTTGTTTATAAGTAGTTGAGTGAAATGAGGGATACATATCCCCCTAATTTATCCTCTGAAAGACAGATCTGCAAACATTTTGAGGAAAGCTTTCTGGGAGTGAATGGTAGGAATTCTCTGATGACCTTTTCTCATCTTTTCTAGTTAGGTTATGTTTGTTGTAGTCACCGTGCTTATGTGTTTGACATGTGTCTGATTCTCCACCCAGGGAGCAGGGTTTTCATTTCATCGTTCATGTGTCCCTGAAATCCTGTTTCCTTAGTGGATGTGCCATCCTGTCCTCAGAAGGGCTCAGTTTAGGGAAGCAGGGATGGACAGAATTACAAGGCAACAGGTGGACTCTGAAGGAAATGGGGTTGTGGGGATATAGTAAAAAAGGAAAGGGTGGCTGGGTGTTGGTGGCGCACGCCTTTAATCCCAGCACTCGGGAGGCAGAGGCAGGCGGATCTCTGTGAGTTCGAGGCCAGCCTGGTCTACAAAGTGAGTTCCAGGACAGTCTCCAAAGCTACAGAGAAACCCTGTCTCGAAAAACCACAAAAAAAGAAAGGGTGCTTTTATAGAGAAGGGAGCAAAATTATGAAAATACCGTCCACAGTGGTGGAGTGCTGAGAACAAAAAGGCGGAAGGTGATCGCCCTCAGTTTGGGGGTATTTGTGTCACAGTGAATTTAAACGTTTTCCAGGGAGGAATTTCTAAGCATAATGCTTGTTGTGAGTTGCACCCCCACCCCATTACTGACTGTTAAGTTATGGACTTTTCCTGGTGATGTATACTTGCCAGAGCTTTGGACATACTGAAGACAAGACAGCAGGCTGACCACGTCTCTGGGAGGGAAGTTTATTCTTCCTTTTAGCCCCAGAGTATTTGGTGTCTGCATACAGTTTGGAAATGGGTGGCATGAGGAAGCCCTTCACTGTGCTGAGCTGGATGCTGTTTCTCCTGTCTCTGGTGAATTCTCAGAGGTTTTCCAACTGCATAGTCCCCTTTCAGATACCGCAAGGGAGGACAGAGGATGAGGCCCTGGGAGTTCAGTTTTGGTTTTGAATCAAGCAGGCAAGCCCTTTTCCTGGGAACTCAGGGATGAACGTCAGTTCCGTGTTGAGCATGCTCTTGGGCTTTCTGTAGATGTCCTTGAGTTGGCTTGGGCATCAAACTACCTGTGCCTTTTCTGCAGCTCTCCCAAGGAACTCATTAATTTGAAACGTTCCTTTGCTCCAGGTCTTCTGAATGGGCATCTACTTTGAAGATTTTAAAGTGGCAGGTAGAAACATCCACTCTCAGAGCCAGGAGAGACAGAAATGAAGGGAACAAGCTCCCAATTTAGCTGAAGTTTGTAAAAAGGAGTATATTCTAGATGCAATTACAGTATTGCATGAAATTATACGCTGGCAGATATACCATGAAATAGTCATTTTGTGTCTTTTTTTTAAAAAGTGTAGAGTTTTTTTTTGTTTTTTTGTTTTTTGTTTTGTTTTGTTTTATGAGACAGGATTTCTCTGTATTATTTTGGAGGCTGTCGGTCCAGCCTGGCCTCAAACTCACAGAGATCCACCTGCCTCTGCCTCCCGAGTGCTGGGATTAAAGGCGTGCGCCACCACCGCCCGGCTCAAAATGTAGAGTTTAAGAGACACAAAACTCAAGTAGATGGAGCCAAATAAGCGGAAGACAGAAAGTTCTGCAACTAGAACCGTATCCAATGAAGAAAGACGTTGTTGTTGACTGGCAGCAAGAGCGAACAGACTGGAGAGCACTTTAGCAAAGATAGGGAAGTGTATAGCTCAGCAGAGCCCATCCACAGACCATCCCCAGCTAGATTTTAGAAGAATTAGATTCTTCAACCAAAAACCATTCCTCCCCAGAACCATAGCAATTGATTTGAATAAATCTTCTCATCACCACAACTGTAAGGTGGGGTCTATGGCGGTTAGCCTCTGGGCCTGTATCTGAGGGGTTGTGTTGACTGCGCTCATTGAGGTGTGGAGACCTACTCTTAAATGGGAGGCGCCAGTCCCTGTGCTTGCTTCTTAGGTGAAATAAACAGGAGACAGCAAGATGAGCAGGAGGATTCCTGTTCTTTGTTTCTTGACTATGGACCCAATGTGGTCAGTTCTTTCCCACTCCTGCAGCTGTAACTCTCCTGTCGTGATAGAATGCCCTAGAACTGTGAGCCCAAATAAGTCCTACCCTCATAGGTGGCTTTTGTTAAGGTATTTTATCAGAGCAACAGGAAAAGTAACAAAAAAGGAACAGGGGGTTCAGAAAGACTAAAACAATTGCTCCAGTTTGCACAGCAAGTTATCAGTTGTGAGTTGAACCCACATCTGTTCAGATCCAAAATTTCTCTCCTGAGAGGCGAGGGATACATTCATGGCTTAGGGTTTCTGCAGCCCTATCCCCCACAAGGTGTTTCTTTAGGGATTTTCAGGGCTGAGGATATAGCTCAGCGGAAGAGTGCTTGCTGACTCTAATCCCTATACATCAATTCCTAGTCCATACACATATGAATTTTCCATCTTCCTTCCCTCCAGGGGCATAGTTCTCACTAGTAGAAGGGACTAGCAGAGACAGGTGAAGCATCTTTCCAAAAGCACTTGGCTTTCAAAGTGTCCTACCTCATAACTTCATTAACAATGACAAACAAACAAGAAAAAAAATCCATCTGCTACTGCGCAGTTCCTTCATTTGACCCAACTTACTCCATGGAGTCAATGATCTTTCTTGGCTCCACAGGGCATGGGTAGATGACTTCATCTATGTGGCTCAGGTTGCAGTTAGAGAAGGCAGTAGAGATGTGGATGAAGGCTTCAAGCTTTGGCATCTGGCTGGCCATTAGCAGGAGCTGCTGGGTGGCGGTGACATTCAGCTGCACGGCTTCCCTGGAGGGGACAAAGCAGGAAGAAGCAGTGACGACACTCAGCGTCCCGTACCTGCTATACCTCATGAGCGTGCCTCCTCCAGTGACTGGCATACCACACTGTAACTGTACTTATCCTAGTGGCGGAGGTAGCAGGCTTTAAACTGGTGTATGTGCGATGACTATACCTACTTCAGTAATGGGTAAATGGCTCCAGTCTTGGTGGCATATCACGAGACAAGGAGAAAAAGGACCGGTCCCTGGCTGCACAATTCTGTGACACTTGAAATCGTGATGTGCTCCTGGTATGCAGAGTCCTTAGTCCTAGTCGCTGAAGCACCGTACCTACTGTGTCTAGCGCTTACATGGTTCTAATCAGTAAGACAGAAGAAAACATGGTCCTCTGGATTGATCAAGTGGCTTCCATAAGTGGCCACTGAAAGAACAAAGAAAGACACATGAAGACTCTAACTCAAGAAGATGGAAAATACAGAGAACATGGAGAGAACTAAGAGTAGATATCTGATTTTTTTTGAGACTGTGTTTCTCTGTGTAGATTTGTAACCTGTCCTGGAATTAGCTCTCATAGACCAGGCTGGTCTCGAACTCACAGAGATCCACCTGCCCCTGCCTCCTGAGTGCTGGGATTAAAGGCGCGGGTCGCCACCACCCACCTAAGAGAGGATACTTGAAAGAACAATAGCAGTTGTTGTTGTAAAGATCCAGTCCAGCCGTGGAGATTGATGCCAAATCCTAAATTGTAGCTGAAACCGTGGAAAGCTATATAAACTCAGTGTAAGCAGCAAGATGGTCAGAATTCACTCCAGGACACATCCTTTATCCAGTGTTAGGAAACCTGTTACTCCAAGTTTACTCACAAAGAGAAAAACTATGTGATCCTACACACATTATTGTTGGTGGTGGTGGCGTGTGTGTGTGTGTGTGTGTGTGTGTGTGTGTGTGCACGCACATCTGGGTGTAGGTACCCACAGAAGCCAGAGGACTTGGATTGCCTAGAATTAGAGTTTCAGGTGGTTGTGAGCCTCCTGATATGGGTGCTAGGAACCAAACAAAGGTCTCCTGCAAGAACAACATGTACTCCTCTGTGCCATCTCTCTAGTTCTTTTTTTTTGAAAAAAAATTAATGATATGTGTGGTGATATCTTGCTTGTACAAATAAAGCCTGTCTGGAGGCCAGAGCATGGAGTTTGCAGCTAGCTAACCATAGAGGTCTGGAGGTCTGTACAGACAGACAGGAAGTGATGTAGCTGGGTGGAAACAGGACATGAGGAGGGAGAAACAGGAAATTGCTCTCTTGTCTGCTGAGGTGCTGAGGAGGTAAGGTGTGGCTATGGCTTGCTCCTTCTCTCTGATCTCCCAGCATTTAATCCTAGCACCCAGGAGGCAGAGGCAGGCAAATAGCTGTAAATTCCAGGCCAGCCTGGTCAATGTGATGAGTTCCAGGACAGTAAGGATTATAGAGAGTGACCCTGTCTCAAAATAAGTGAATAAATAATACATGAATGAATGAAAATATTTCAAATATCTAAATGTAGAAACAAAAGTACAACAATAATTCAAGAAATTGTGAATATGCATTAACTAACAAGAGTATAAAGATGTAGGTAATCTGAAACATGTTGAACTTTATAAAAGATAAAGTTAATATGGAGAAGCTTCCAAGTAATCTTGAAATCAGCAAAATAAATAAATAAATAGATTTAAAAAAACCCTCAGTTCAAAATAGGAAAATACCATGAATAGTCATTTCAGGAATGAATAAAACAACAGTCAGCGTTTAAGCATGTCAACCTTCCTAATCATCAGAGAAATAAAGAAAACATGTTCAATACCACATCTGCTGTCATTCCAGCTGCACTGGACGGAGCATGGAACACTCCCCACAGGAGCTCCAGCAACCTTTCTTTGAAGTTGAGCCCATGTCTGCATAACTGCAGAAGCAGGTAGAAAGGGGTGTGTGTGTGTGTGTGCTGTGTGTGTGTGTGTGTGTGTGTGTGTGTGTGTGTGTGTGTGTGTGTGTGTGTGTGTGTGTGTGTGTGTGTGTGTGGTGTGTGTGTGTGTGTGTGTGTGTGTGTGTGTGTGTGTGTGTGTGTGTGTGTGTGTGTGTGTGTGTGTGTGTGTGTGTGGTGTGTGTGTGTGTGTGTGTGTGTGTGTGTGTGTGTGGTGTGTGTGTGTGTGTGTGTGTGTGTGTGTGTGTGTGTGTGTGTGTGTGTGTGTGTGTGTGTGTGTGTGGTGTGTGTGTGTGTGTGTGGTGTGTGTGTGTGTGTGTGTGTGTGTGTGTGTGTGTGTGTGTGGTGTGTGTGTGTGGGTGTGTGTGTGTGTGTGGTGTGTGTGTGTGTGTGGTGTGTGTGTGTGTGTGTGTGTGTGTGTGGTGTGTGTGTGTGTGGTGTGTGTGTGTGTGGTGTGTGTGTGTGTGTGTGTGTGTGTGGTGTGTGTGTGTGTGTGTGTGTGGTGTGTGTGTGTGTGTGTGGTGTGTGTGTGTGTGTGGTGTGTGTGTGTGTGTGTGTGTGTGTGTGTGTGTGTGTGTGCGTGCACACCGCGATGGACTCTGCCTCTGCACAGCGGGATTGTGGAGACATTCTGAAGATTCTTGTATGTTTCTTTGGCATATGCTTTGTGGTTCTTTGCTTTTTGCTATTCATTTTTATGGATTCCATGAAGATTCTCTCTCTCACACACACACGAGAGAGAGAGAGAGAGAGAGAGAGAGAGAGAGAGAGAGAGAGAGAGAGAGAGAGAGAGAGAGAGAGGCGCAACAAGCCTCCGAGAGTACAGAGGGAACATACCTCAGGTGTGCGTCAAAGCGCACGGTGGCCGCACAGTGGAAGATGATATTGGTGCAGGACAGAAGCTCCTGCATGTCCTCCTTGCTAATGGCGAAGTCGCGCTGGTTGAGGTCTGCAGAGATGGGTCTGATCTTCTCGTGCACATTTGGACAGACTTCCTTGACCTTCTCAAACAGCTGAAACAGAAACCCACAGGCCACATGCCTCATTAACACCACCAAGCCTTGCTTTGAATACGTGCCTTTCATCAATAGCACTCAAAACCTGGTGTTAGATGTAATGCTAGTATTTTCAGTGAAGGCGTCTACACAGTCAAGAGCCCTCTGCTTTGTCTCATGAATTTGGCGTGACTCGGATCCTTTCAACCCCAGGAACATCTGAAAAAGGCGTGCGTGTCCAATAATCACTCAGGTGCATATTTTGAGCTTTGCCCTGGAGGTGAAGGAGTGACTAATCATCGTCCTGGCTAGTTTTATGTCAACTTGACACAAAGTAGAGTCATCCAAGAGAAGGGAATCTCAATTGGGAAAAATGCCTCCATAAGATTGGGCTGTAGGCAAGCCTGTAGAACATTTTCCTAATTAGCGATCGGTAAGGGAGGGCCCGGCCCTTTTGTGGTTGGTATCACCTGAGCTGCTGGTGGTACCTGGGTGCTGTAAGAACGCAGGCTGAGCAAGCCATGAGGAGCAAGCCAGTACGCAGAACCCCTCCATGGCCTCTGCATCACTTCCTGCCTCCAGGCTCCTGCCCTGCTTGAGTCCCCGCCCTGACTTCCTTCAGAGGTGAGCAGTAAGTAGGATGAGCACTTTCCTCCCCAAGTTCCTTTTGGCCATGGCGTTTATCACGGCGATAAAAGCCATTAGCTAAGACAGTCGCCGCCCCCTCCTCCTTACCTGACAGCTTTTGTCCTTTAGAGTACTTGTATTTACACATGGGGGTAGTTTTTTACTTTTTACTGAGAAATAATGGTTTTCAGGGCTGGGTTATCAGCTTTTAGCCAACATCGTGTAAACACCTTGCTTGATGGGCTCAGCTAAAAAGATATAAGCACTAATGCAATTGGGAAACAAAAAGAATTAGGTGAACACTTTATGAGTAAAGCAAATTTTATGTAATCATACTCTTAATATCAGTGGCAGTTAATGTCAAGGGTTACGTGAGCTCACATGCTGGTTCCCTGGATTTTAAGTGACTTTTTTAGCATTCTAATTTATTTATGAAGGGAGAAGACACAAAAACAACAATTTTAGCTCTTACTATATTTACTCCAGGGGGTTGATTCTCTGCTCTTCCCACCACACAGAGAATCTTATATTAAACTTTAATTTTCTATTGTTTTTGAAAACACCATTTTAATGAAAACAATCTTTTTTTCCAACCATTTTGCTAAGGTGAAATTTTCATATAGCATCCATGGGGATAAATATTTAGAAGTGTTAAAAATGGGCAAAGTTGGTCTCTTTTTTTTTAAACATAGGCAATACCAGAGACAGGCCGCTTGGTCCCCAGACTCTAAAGACAGTGTGCTCCTTGGTTCATAGTAGCAAGCTCTTTTGTTGAGTAACGGAACATTAAATCTGGGCTTGGGATGCAGCTCAGCTGGCAGAGTGACTACCTCCCATGCACAAGGCCCTGGGTTTGACCCCCAGCATTGCATAAAACCAGGCAAGGCGATGTACAACCAAGCAATCCCAGCACTCAAGTTCAAGGTTGTCTTTTCTAGCTAGACACTTTGAGGCCAAAACTTGGATTGTATGAGACCCTATCTCGAAAACAAAACAACAGCAGCAAAAAATTAAGGCAGTCAGAGAAACCAGATTTTATTTGCATCAGGAAAAAGCAGGCTCAAAGACATCCTTGAAGCTGGAAGAAGGTGACTAGGGAAGGGACTCAATGCTTCTATCCCTGAGCTTTTAGTTTCCACATGGTAGGGCCGGTCCTCAATACTTTGTTTTAACATCTGGGATAGAAAGGGTTGGTAAAAGGTTCACTCTCATCAGAAAAGTCCTTCTAGCTCTTGGAGACAGACCTTTAACAGCTCTAATCTTGATCAATGATAAATATGCTAAGCTGCTTTTACAATCATGAGTTTTCCCTGTGATAGTTCTTTTTAGCCACCCAACAAATGTGGGAACTTGTGTAAAATGATTGCAATTTCCCTCCTTTAAGGACTGAGTCTGTAGAGCCTCTTTGAGCTATGGTGGAATTTTCTCCACTAGCTTGTCTGTGATTCTGTGGACCCCGACTTTGGAGAGGAGCAGGCAGATGCCGGGTGGAGAGAGGACGCACCACACCTGTGCACTGCCTTTGAAATGGTTCAGAGCTGGAATTTGGACTCTTACAATGAAGGGGTGACCCCCATGGCCTCATTTGGGAGGCATCTACAGGAGGTTTAGCTTTGTTTTCTGGACATCATTGAAGGTAGACTTCTTCCATGAGAGCCTTTGAGCTCTAGCCTTCTGCTGCATCCCTGTCTTCAAATAGAATGCTATTATCTAGTCCCAGTAACACACCAGCAATTGTTTAGTTACTATTTTTATCCTATGGGAGAAAAATGGTGAGGTCTGCTAAGTTAAAGGGTAGACTGTGGACTGTCCAGAGCTCTGATATGGAAGGAAGACACTAAGGAATTTTCAGGGTGCTGAGTTAAAGCACATCAGGAGATGTGGGGGTGTCAGCTCTAGTTCAGGTGCAGGGCAGTTAAGTATGCCCATAGAAACCATACTGAAGAACTTCTACATCCAATCTAAAGACACACACACACACACACACACACACACACACACATTCAGGTGCAGGGCAGTTAAGTATGCCCATATAAACTATACTGAAGAACTTCTACATCCAATCTAAAGATACACACACACAACAACAACAAAAAAACACATCAGAATCTTGTCCTTTGCTAGCTAGTCCCATAGGCTGGAAGGGGCTGGGAAGAGAGATGAGGGGAGGAAGGGAGGGAGGGATGAAAGAGAAGGTAGGGAAGGAGAGGAGAGGAGGGCAGTGAGGAGGGGAGGAGTCCCTAGTTGACAGCTTGGGGAAATACAGAACATTAAAATCAGAAAGAGATCTTCCTGTCTTTAAGGACCTACTAAAAGGCAAGTGCCATGCTAAGCACCGACTTTCATGATCACACTTCATCTTAAAAGTCCTTGTGAAGTGTTTGTTCTTATGTCACAGACAGAAGCTAATCCCAGAAAACTGTCTTCTCCCCAAGGCTGTGTGCTATCTGTGCCACGGAGGGGACACAGCAAAACTGGAAGGCATCTCAACGAGCACCACGACTCCTCCGTGGCACTCGCACCTCCCCTCAGAACCTGCCTCACTGAAGCAATTGAAAACTTCCAGCCTGAGTCTGCACATATCCATTGGTTCCCACTTTCTGCTGCATGTCCCAAGAATGCATTGCTGAAGACAAGGAGATGACCTTTCCCCAACTCCCACGGCAGCAGAGGGGCAAGGAAGAACCTTCCAGACGGCAGAGCAATTGGCCACAAAAAAGGGATGGAAAAGAGTCCTCTTCCCAGGGAGTCCAGTCAGGGACCAGGTAAGGGACATCTTCCTACTCTATAATCTTCTCAAGGAGCCTTCTCAGTTCCCACCAAGCATATTTCTCAATAGATACAGCCCAGCCTCCTGCCTGCCATTTTGAATAGCTTCCTTTGTTTAGTTTTCTTTTTTTCTTAAATGGTGGTTACCTCGCCTCTGTCCTACTGCTGTATATGACGTTTGAGTTCTAAGACAGCCAACCAAAAGCTGTTGTCTTTTCACTTGGTAGACGGAATTGCCTAGCCCCCAGCAACACGAACTCTGATTCGAGAATGGTATGAATGGTTAGGACAGAGGAGAATTTTGTGACCTAAAGCGAAGACAGTGGGGGTTTCCTCATGGGCATCTACCTGTGTATTTCTTAGCCATGGGATGTGGCCAAGTAGCAGCCTTATATGGTGTGTGGACAAGAGTTAGGGGTACTACTCCCTGTCTTGGCCAGAAGTCTTCCTATAGAATCACTCCTGTCTTTGTCCCCCTTGCTTAGTTGGCTAAGGGCAATCTATAAAAGATGGCAACCTCTCCATCAGTCACCTTGGACCTAAATGGTTAGTGTGTTGCCTCTTCTATCAGCTGCCTTTCAGGGAGGGTGGGGGCTGTCTTTTTCAGCACATGCCTGTAATTCACACAGGCTAGAGAGGCAATAGCTAGGCTAAGTTGCCCGTGCGGATGTGAACAGATATATCATCATAGATTTGTGAAATCTGGTGCAGTGCTGGAATCCCAAGCCCTTGAGAGGCCGAGTGGGTAGATTCTGTGCCTAAGGCCAGTCTAGGCTACACAGCAAGACCCCATCTCAAACACAACAATAAAAAATTAGTCACTTATTCATTTCTACTTTTATCTCTTACGGAAGCCATGGTGAACTGATAGAGAAGAGAATGTGGGAATGTAATGTGCCTTTGATACGTGGGAAACAGGTTCAGGCAATCCATGATTTATTTGGCTTTAGGTACAATGAATAAACGAGCTTGTCTGGGTAAAAGAGCTCAGGGGTCATTGATTATATCTTTATGTTATGCAACACGATATTATTTTAATCCTCATAAACCCCTGTGACATAACTTTTGTCATTTGATAACATTGTGTAAACATGGTGTGGGTGGCTTAGGCAACTGTGGCAAGCTGTCCGCACTGGGCTGTTTCTCTGACGTAGGAAGGAATGGATAGGGTCAGGTCTGGTGTTTTTCCTCCTGTCCTATGCTAGTCCCTGTGAAAGTCAAGAATAGTGACCGGTTACTGAATAGTTACATTTCTAGAACCGTCGATCGTCTCCAAACAATATCTGTGAGACAAGAAGACATTAAGAAGGAACACTGCCACAACTATTTGTGATACCAAGAGAGAGCTAAGCTTGAGCAATGGTGTTCAGAGTTTGCTCAGGGACATCAACGTCAAAGGCCACCCTCTACTGACCCTACTTCTGCCAGCAGGCCTAACCTAACTGTCTGCACAGCCTGTCAAATTCCATACTGAAGGACAGGTACCCAAAGCAGGAACAGTGGGGACATGTCAGATTCAACCATTACAACGACGATTTCCTTTCCTGGCCAATTATAACTCAAGCACTTCTGCCCTCCTTTGGGGAAAACACAGGTGACACTGTTGTGTTTGTCTTCTTTTTCTGTCCCCATGTATGCTCTGGCCTGCAGTTGGGAGTTTGTTCAGTTTCTTTTACAGCTGCTTTGATAAAATGCTCCCCCGTCCCCACCCCTGCTCCCACCCCAAGCAGCTTGAGGGTGAAAGATTTTACTTTAACTCACAGTTGGAAGTATTGTCCGCCATCAACAGGAAGTCAAGGCAGCAGGGGCTAGCTTGAAGGAACTGGTCATATTGTATCCACAACCCAGGAGAGTGCTATAAATTCTTGTGCTCACTCTTTTTTTTTTTTTAAATACAATCCAGGACCCCAACCCAGCAAATGGTGCCACACATGACAGGGAGGTCCTCCCATCTCAAATAACCTAATTAAGATAATCCCCCACAGGCATGCAAGACTGACCTAAATAACCATTCACGGGATGTGCCTGCAGGCTTGTCTCCTGGAGACTCTAGGTCCTGTCGAGATGACAGTTAACACTAACATTGCAGAGCTATAAGGACACACGTACACAGTCACTCAGCCACCCAGCATAGCCCGTCACGCAGGGCCCTCCAAGGAGACACACCTTACTGTTGAGGATCTGGAAAACCCTCTCCTGCAGGGTTTGTCCAGACTTGGGTCTCACAAGGATGTAAATGACTTTCAGCTGGGGGCTGGTACGGAACAACTTCTCCATCAGCACCTTGCCCAGGAAGCCCGTGGCCCCGGTGATGAGGACAGACTTGTTGCTGTAGAAAGCTGCAATCATGGACATGATTCCTCCGCCGTTGTTCTAGTGTGGTTCCGGGAAGGGGGTCCTGAAACAACAGCAGCAGCAGCAACAAAACCAAGTTACAACCTCAGATGTTTTGAAAGTCTCAACCGTTTAACAGCATGTCCAGGCTGGCTTCAGGAGTTTTGAATGGGGGGGGGGGGATTGTGAGAGCCACCAGCTTCTGGGAAGTAAAATGCATTCTAATCAATGTTCCTGAACCTGCACTTTATCCTAAGCCTTTTCTTAGGGACCGTGGGGGAAAAGATGAGTGTGACATAGCCCTCAGTCTAATGGAAGACACAGATACAAGGAGAGTCCATTAATTAAATATACTGTGGTAAGTTGGTCGCAGACCAACGTTCTGGAATGGCAGGCACTGGGGACTTACGTGTGGTGACATCCTCGGTGGTAGTGTTGGAAGGTGGTGACTTTTAAGTTGAAGGCAGGCAAGGCCTGGGATAAGGGTGTTTTAGGCCTTAGAAACCAGGGTTCACACAGCTATTAAATGTTACAAAGAAATTGCAACATATAATTAATACTTCAAATTTATCTAGCAACCATGTTGGGGCAAATGGCATAGTCCCACCTGGTGTTCCTGCCCCTGTCCTCCCTGCCCTGTCTTAAGTATAGATGCTTTTCTCTTCCTTGGGATGAAAATGAGTGGCTGTCACTTCCTGCATATGCCACTCTGGGGGTTCAGTCATCATACACAACGAAGAGCAGTTTTACAAGAGAAGCCCAAAACTGTTGGCTTTGGGGTACCCAGAAGGAGCAGTGGGCACAGCAGCTGCCCCGGCCATTTGGGACTGCTATTTTCAGGAGCATAGGAAAAGACTCGACAAGTTATCTGAGGACCAGAAGTGGCCCAGGATCCTCAGGCTGCTGCCGAGAAGACCCTTTTGTGGATTGTAAAAGAGCAGTTAACTTGTTCTCTTCAATCCCTAGTGGGAGACTGACAATAGCCCAGAGAGCCGTGTGTGTGTGTGTGTGTGTGTGTGTGTGTGTGTGTGTGTGTGTGTGTACCTGGTACCCTCAGAGGCCAGAGAGAACATTGGATCTGCTGGAACCATAGTCACAGACAGTTGTGAGCAGCCATGTGGGTGCCGGGAATGGAGCCCGAGTGCTCTGGAAGAGCAGCAGTGCTCTTAACCACTGAGCCATCTCTCCAGCCCTCATTTCAATAGAGTTGATCAAATACCTAGGTAAGCCTGTTCATCATCGCTAAGATAAAGCCAAACATGGCATCCAGAAAGCCAAGCGCCTGTCAGTATTGGTGTTTCCCTTTCCACTTGGAGATTTGTAAAGGGAGGAATGTTACAAGCAAAGGAAGAATTGACCTATTAACCCAATGAGAATGGGACTCCAACTGAATCAATAGTAAACCAGCATTGGCCGGGCGGTGGAGGCACATGCCTTTAATCCCAGCACTCGGGAGGCAGAGGCAGGCGGATCTCTGTGAGTTCGAGGCCGGGCTGGACCGATAGCCTCCAAAACAATACAGAGAAAAACCCTGTCTCGTAAAAACCAAAAACCAAAAAAAAAAAAAAAGCGTGATTTTCATAACTCTGCTTAGAAAGAAAATATTTTATAAACAGATGGCTTTCCATTCATATTCTGAGTTATCAGAATGATCAACCAGGCACTCAGAGTTCTGCCCTCTGGAATTACACTGCAAGGAGCTGCAGCTGTCCACTTTGGAGCAGTGCCTGAATACCGTGCGGAAGCATCTGTAACCAGGCCAGACTCCTTGAACATCCCCAGAACACCATAGGCTCCTGCTGTGGAGAAAGAAGGCTGGGTGGTGGGAATAGCATGATGGGAATTTGCGCTACTTTCTTTTGTAACTTGTTTTTCTGCAGGGTCTGCCCAAGCCCATCCACACCTCACTAGTTCAGTGTGAAAGCCATGAGCTGTATAATCCCTGTTCACAGTCTATTGGTTCAAGCAGCACTCAGAAATGAGTGCTGTGGATGTGTTAAGATAATGATCCAGACTTAAATCATTCTATTCTGTTATGGCCCTGAAAGAGAGCATGAGCCATTTCTTAAAGGGATGGTATCCTAAATCTCTGTTGATTTGTCTTCTCTCTTTCCTCCCCTCCATCCCCTTCCCTCCTCTCCTATTTCCGCCTCCTTTCTTCTCCTCCTCTCCCCTTCCCTGCCTCCCCTCCTCTTCTCTTCTTTTATCTCTCCCCTCTCTCTGGTATGCAAGTGTGTTCACACACATGTATGTGGAAGCCAGAGGAGCACCTTGGATATTATTCCTCGGGCATCATCCATCTTGTATCTTGGCTTTTTTTCTTTTCTTTTCTTTTCTTTCTTTGAGGCTGGACCTTTCCATGGCTTGGAACTTGCCAAGTAGACAAGGCTAGCCAGCCTTCCAACCCCAGGGATCCACCTGTCTCTGCCTCCCCAGTCCAAGGGCTACAGCTTTACAGGGGTTCTGGATCTTTCTGCTTTTGGTGACAAGGAGCGTTCTCCTTAACTCTTGCCACCTAAACCTTAAGGGGGCCTCCGTTGTGAGTCGCCTACTGGGGCCTGCCAGAGCAGCCACCGATCGATCGTTCACGCACATTGCATCTGCTGGGTTATTAGACCCAGAGCTGCAGAGCGGCGTGTGCAGTGACCGCATCTGCTGTGCGTCTCCCTCTTGTTCTGGGCCCCACCCAAAGCCAGGTACTTTGGAGATGGTTGGGTGAAGGGGCTACAGTAGTAGCCCATCCAAGCGAGGACTCTGTGGCCTAACATCCAAAGAGGCCCGCAGGAATATCACACTTCTCGTTTTGTTTCTAGGAGAGGTCAGATGCAGTAACTTATATGTTACCTTAAATGGAATGTCTTTAACCTGCCTCAAGCAACTGTATGCTCGGGAGGCTTCACTGGACTGGACTGGGAGGCCCTGAAGTTTTGTCATGCACTTGTTCTCCGACTGCCAATGTCCCTTGGTTTTTGCCATGCTTTGCCCGCAAGATCCTCTCAGCGTAGTGCTGATAACATAATAGTGTGGCGGTAGTTTGTCTATGACCTAACAAAGCTCGCCTGAAGATCGGAGTGCAAAGCCAGCCACACTAGTCAGCCACAGAGGCCCAGGAAGTGGTGGTACACACCTTTAATTCCAACACTTTGGAGACAGATCTCTTGTTAGCTCAAGGACTCCCTGGGCTACACAAAAAATTGGTCCAGTCCAAAAGAGAAACAGATCTCATACAAAGGTGATCCCAGTACTTAGAGTGACAAGCCTTTGATACCAGTGCTAAGGAGGTGGAGACAGGAAGGGATATGGCTGGACAGAGAGAGAGGATACAAGGCAGGAGGAGACAGGAACTCATGGCAGTCTGAGCATACAGTCTGAGGACAGGATCGCCCCTTGGGTCTCAGCGTTGGTAGAGGTAAGAACTCTCCAGTGGCTGGTCACTCTGCTTCTCTGGTCCTCACTCAGGCAAGCTTTATTTGTTAGATGACCATAAACAAAATATCACCGCATAATGGTCCAGAATGACAGCTTGTGGAAATGAAAACACAGTCAAGATTCAGGCTAATTAAGTTTATCACAGGGCTGGATAGCTGATTTGCTCCTGTGGTAGGATGCTGAGGTGTATTGATGGTCGCCCTAGCCCATTACATCGTCATGCAGGGTGATGGAGACAGTGCCAACGTACTGACCTTAGCATGAGGTAGCCGTGAATTAGCTTGAGCAACATTTGATAGCTGTATATTGGACATGGCAGATGCAGTTAGGGCCACTGCTTGGTTAAGTTGAGGACAATCAGGTGCCATTTTCTAACACTGGACTCTGAACACTAAGTAGATAATTTGAATCTGGATGTGGTTGAAACCGTGAACCTGCATCTTTGACATCCTTTATGGGAGGGAGGACTAACTTCCATAATTTTTCCAGGAATATGGTCCTGCTTTGGGGGCACGATTGGATGGGTAGGGTAGTTCTAGTGGCTTTTATATTCTCATTTCAAAAGTAGCGAGGCAAGATAAGCTTTCTGCTATGCATCTGTAACCCAGAAAATCACCACATGTTGATCCTGGGAAAGCGCTGACCCACTGTGAGTAGGACCTGGCTAAAAGGCCAAACCACCTGACCTCCGTAAGCACTGCTCTGCCCGCCAAGGTAATATTTCATTTCAGCACTGATGTGCACAGTTCTGCTTGTAAAAAGCCAAACCTCATAGGCCTTATTGGGGGGAAACTGGGAAAAAGAAGTTCACATGACAAATTCTTGGTATTATATTGGGGGTTCTTCCTCCAGGACACCCAGACTTCCATTCACCCACAAATTGTTGCAGCCCTGTGAACTAACTGAAGGACTTTGATGATCCATTTTATGATGGTAGCTGGATTTTTGTTCAGTTGTCCTAAAGCTTTTCTGGTTATCCAGACCCAGTAAGATTTAGCAGACATCCCTCCTAATTCAGTATAAAAGCATCATGGGGGAGAGGGTGGGGTTAAGAGCAAGCACTGCTCTTTCCAGAGGACCTGAGTTGCTGCACTAACTCCGTGCAGTTCAAAGCTGTCACCATCGCCAGCTCCAGGGGATTCCTCTCCAGCGCCTGCCAGCAGCCACACGCACTCTGCAGACATTCACACAAATATGCACAGGTATACATCAATGAAGATAACAATAAAATAAATCTTATTTTTAAAAGAGCGCCCTGGGTGGCTAGCCAAAACACCTCAGGTTCCTACCAGTCAGCCATTCTGGTAGCTGCTTCGGCCCTACTGCCCCTTATGGATGCCACACCCACATTGTTGCCAGCATTGGCAACCCTAGTTCTGCCCCCACAGCAGGAGTCACCACAGGGCTCTTCAGACACGAAACGGTTCCCTTTTCAGGCTTATTTCTGTGTCACAACTAAGTCCACCTAATTTTTTGTGTGTGTGTGTGTTACTCACTTTTAGGGCTGAATTATTTTTTAACTTTTTATTTTTCATTTATTTATTTTTAAAGACTTTATTATGTATACAGCATTCTGTCTGCAAATATGCCCGCAAGCCAGCAGAGGGCGCCAGATCTCATTACAGATGGTTGTGA